TCAAGTTTCTCGCGCTTGATCCATTTTTGTTCTTTGACCAAGAACTCGGCATGGGGATCCTTGATACCACCATGGTGTAACCATTCGTTCAACATGGCCATATAGGGCCTGCTAGCGTCACGCAGTAAGCTCTGGAGCAGGGTTTTAGTGATTGGATCGCCGGAGAATGAGGCTAGACGTCCCGTTAGTAGTCCAAGAATATTGCCTCCTTTGCACATTTTCTTGCGGGCCAGTGACCCTGGTACTAAATCTCCGCCCTCTTTGAGTTGTTCAAGTATATTGTCAACATCCTCATCGAAGTCATCAATCGACTCCTCGAGGTCTTCGTCCAGAAGGCCATTTTTGAGCAAGAGTTCCTGGCCCATTGAGTATAATTGGGCTAGGCATTGACTGGTGGGCATTGTGTGGAGATGAAGAAGGTGCAAGGTAAATGCAGGATTGTTCAGCAGCTGGCCTTCCAGCTGGGCGATGAGGATCAGGTAATCTTTCAGAAGCTTTCGAATAGATGCGCACAGCGAGTGACTGACAGCACCACACTCAGCGCGGCTTTGTATTTCTACAAATGCCTCCATGGCACTGTAGTGTGTCGCCATTTTCAACATGGACTGGATGAGATCACGGAGGGTTGGATCTAGGCCCGGGGCTATCTGGAAAACTGGGCCCGTGAGGCGGTCTTTCTCAATCGATGGGTCGTATGAGCTAGCGTAGTGAACATATTGCCCTTCAAATCCCATAAACACAAACAACAAATCCTCCAAGATCGCTGCTTCCTGGGCATCAGGCGAGAGCTCTCGGAGTGGCCGAGGATGAAGGGCCTGCGGGACTGTCGAAGCTAGAGGGGGAACTGATACTCGACAAGCGAGAGGAGCTGTCGAGTGGGGAATCAATGACGCTCGGGGATTCCATGGTGCTGTAAAGGAAAAATCATGGTCAGCAAATTCATTCACTCCGCGGCAAATTGCGGCGCAGGGATTACTCACAATCAGCCAGGTCCTTCTCCCTAGTTCGGGAACTGGGATGTACGTCGTCAATTTGAGCAAGCTTCCTAGACCGAGTCTTATCCCAATCGCCTCTGTTGGCTGCATTGATAGATTCCTTAACAGGATTCGCAAGGTTCCTTCGCACTGCCTGTTCTCGTGATGTAACCACTATTCTTTCTGGGCGCTTCTCCGACATGCTCTTCTGATCCCGGGATAATCTGTGTTTCTGACTCGAGGTGCTGTGGCGCAAAGGATCCTTATTCTCGCTTTGTAGCGGCGACAGTCCGCGAGTTTCGGAATCGACGCGATTGGAGACGGCGCGGGGTCGTGGAGCGCTCATATACGCGGCACGGTCATTGGCAGACATAATCCCGCGAGTGCGACGTGTAAATCATGCACCATAGGAGATCGAAAGGCGCGAAATCGGCGAATCAGCAACAAAAATAGCAGAACCAATGTATATGGGGAGAAGATGCAAGTATCCAAAACAACTCCACTTTGGCTTGGGCATAATATCATGCCTCAGGCAGAAAGGCAGCAACCAGGCACCTCACCTCTTGCGTACGTCGAGAGCTTCCCTTCCCGAGCTTCACTCAGACATCCACCTCTGCTCTTCTTCCGTTCCAACCGATTCTCTTCTCCATCGTGATTCTATATTCTTTCATTACTCCTTTTTTTTGACAAGTCTTCGCCATCCCATCAGATAATCCAATATGTTCATTGCACGATCAGAATATGGTAAGCTTCGTCAGGGCCTCCCCTCACCGCGGAATCAACTAACAGCTCTGGCCAGACCGTGGAATCAAGTACGTTTTCCGAGTTTAATCTGCATTCTCAGATAGATCTGCAGCCTGACTATGTTTCCTCCGCAGCACCTTCTCCCCCGAAGGTCGTTTGTTCCAGGTCGAATACTCTCTTGAAGCTATCAAACTAGGCTCCACCGCCATCGGAGTATGTCTTATCACCCAGTTCCTCTTTGCTACACGATTCCACAGAAAACCTCAGATCACCACAGCAAGCGAACTTCGTACTGTTGTCGGAGCGCAAAGCCAATCACAATGCGAAAATGGAACCGTCCTTTCTAACACTAATCTAGGTAGCAACCTCCGAAGGTGTGATCCTCGGTGTTGAAAAGCGCGTCACATCCACACTGCTCGAAGCATCGTCCGTTGAGAAGATTGTCGAAATTGATCAGCACATCGGCTGTGCCATGTCGGGTCTCCAGGCCGATGCCCGCAACCTGGTCGAACACGCCCGCGTCGAGTGCCAAAACCACGCCTTCCACTATGCCGAGCCTCTGCGAGTCGAGAGCACTACACAGGCAATCTGCGACTTGGCTCTGCGATTCGGTGAGAGCGGTGATGATGAGGAGAGTGTCATGAGCAGACCGTTTGGTGTCGCGCTGTTAATCGCCGGCTATGATGAGGACGGGCCCCAACTGTAAGATATGAAGCTTCCTTCTGTCTGATCTCTTAACTGACTCCATTATTTTATTAGATACCACGCTGAACCGTCCGGTACATTCTATCGGTATGACGCCAAGGCCATTGGCTCGGGAAGTGAAGGCGCACAGGCGGAGCTGCAGAATGAATACCACCGGTCTTTGACTCTAGCAGAGGCCGAGACATTGGTTCTCAAGACGTTGAAGCAGGTCATGGAGGAGAAGCTTGATTCAAAGAATGTCCAGTTGGCCAGTGTGACCAAGGAGAAGGGTTTCCGTATCTACAACGATGAGGAGATGGGCCACGCTGTCACACAGCTGGGTGGCAACCAATGAGGGCGATTAGTGTCGAAGATATCTCTTGAAGGGGCTCCTCAGACTTGATTTGGACGCTAGTATCTATGTCGGGAGCAATAGAAAAATAATGACGATGCTGTCCAACGTTTGTATGATGGCCTAACTACGTCGTAGCTCATGTATGTAATTAGCAACCTAGATATGGTCCATGAACATAATGGCCATGTGTGATAAATTTTGGTTATGTACAACGACAAATAAGCAGATCCTTTGCAACGTCTAGCGGATCTTATAAACACACGGCTTCAGCACCTGCGCCTCCTGCTCAGGCGACATGCCAGACTCTGAATCAGGCTTGCGGTCAACAAAGCGCTTCTTGTTTCCACCAGGGGCAGGTGCACTGAGAGCCGAAGCGTGTTTCCCCTTGGTAGGCGCACCACCCTGCTTGACAAACACCATGCTCACAAACATCTTGTTGGACTTGACCACGGATTCCTGACGAAGCATGAAGCCACGAGACCGGAACACCTCTACAAATGCCGAGATATCAGTCTCGTCCTTATTGTCAGATGGCCCCACATCCTCAGCAAAGATATCACCCTCATCATCGGAATCATCGCCGCCCTTCTTCTTGAGCTTCTTCTTGTCTGCCTTGCTGCCAGGCTTCTGAGCACCGATCTGAGATTTCTTGCGTTGGACCTTGCCAAATCGACTTTTGACCTCACTGACCCAGCACTCGCCCTTACCGTCGCCGCGCAAAATACGCCATGCCTCCTCGACGAACGAAACCCAGTTGGTTCCCATCAGACTCAGACAGAAAATGGCCACATCCGCCGCCCCGTCTTCCAAGGGAAGATTCGAGATATCGGCTTTGGTGATCAGCGGATCGGGCGCTGCGAGATCATAGCTGTTGAGCTTGAGTTTCAGCTTCTTGGCGGAGGGCGTCAAGGCGCGTGCGAGCTGTGCGTCGCCGCAGCCTAAATCGGCGAATGTGCATAGTCCAGTGGGACGACGGGGGAGTGGATAGCCCTTAGCAGGGTTAATGGGATTTCCGCGTTTCGGGAGCGGGATCGCACCGCGGTGGCGGATGGTCTTGATGTAGTCATCGACCGGATTGGAGGGCCAAGACTCCTTCACCTGTCGCGCAAATCCGGCATGGTACTCGTCGAACAGTTCGGGGTTGGTACTGAACATCTCGAGTGCTTTCTCGGAAGGCGTGGTGTAGAGAGTTTCATTTAGGTGGCGGAACCGAGAGGAGATCAGCTTCTGTCGCATCGCCTGCTGGAGAGGAGTCAGGTTCGATGTTGGTGGGAAGGCAGGTGCAGCTGGAGCAGGAGCAGGAGCTTCCTTGGCCGGGGTAGTGGTAGCACCAACGGCCTCGATCTTGTCCTCTGCGGCGCTATCCTTGTTCTTCTTGTTCTTCCTCTGCCTCTTCTTGGGTGCCTTCTCCTCGGTTTGGTCTGCGTCTGCATCGGCGGTGGTAGCAGCTTCGCTTGTAGGCTCCTGGGTAGTTGTATCAAGTGTTTGCTTCTCCTTCTTCTCCTTCTTTTGCTTCTTCTCAGACTTCACGGGGCCCTCCGCGCCGCTCTTCCCACCCTTGGTGGTCCCTTCGATGTGCCTACGGTACATCTCATCCACATTGCCGGCGGTGACACGGTCATTGGCACGCTTGCGCTTGTTGTTCTTCCCATCGGAGTTGGGAGTATCCTTCTCCGGCTGAGAGTCGTTCTTGGACTGCACGGGCTGAGTCTGAGACTGCAGAGCAGAGCTCTCAACGGACCATCCTGGAACAGCGAACATGATGAATTCCAAAGGATTGGTTGTAAATGTCCAATTCCTATGAAGTAGAGGAAGTGGTACCGCGGAAAAAAAAAACCTCTCAAAGTTTCGTTATCGGTAATTTTACTATCGATTACATACACGGTGCTGCCTTAGGCACCAGACCGGGGTAAATCTCGGCTAAAAGCCTATGGTGTGACTCTGTTTGGGGAACACAAAGGGAGCGTACAATGTTCACCGGGGGCACTCCGTACACTAAGCGCCTCGTAAGCCCTTGTAATTATTAATACCAATGGGCACTCAAGTCTGACTGTGCACTTAAGAACCTTGCAAATATGTAGGTGATTATATATCCCCCCCCTGACGAACCACAGTGCATCTCGGGTGATCTGCGGTTCCTCGGCAGCTTTTCCCTCTTAGCTTGCTTATGGAGTACTTATCTGATTATTGTGCCCTTTAGCCCCACAATGTCCTCGCACATGTCCACTCTACAGTCTTGAGTTATGGCTGACGACCTCCAGGATCAGCTGGATATTCCAGCGGATCTCTCTGTTGGAGGTACCGCGGAAGCCTCAAGCGTACGATCGGGTCCTCGCAGACTCCCGAAGAAACGAACCAAGACAGGCTGTTTGAGTATGTTGCAGAACGCTGGAGAGAGAGTCCCCCGTTGACCAAGCCTCATAGCTTGTCGCAAGCGCCGGATCAAATGCGGCGAAGAGAAGCCAATATGCAGCAACTGTGTGAAATCGAAGCGAATCTGCGAGGGTTATGCCCAGCGAGTCGTGTTCAAGAACCCCATAGGCATCTTTGGGTCTTTCGGTGCTGGCCATGGCCAGGACCCGCAGATAGAGCAACAGCATATGAGAGTGCCGATATACAATGATTATGGCGCCCAACTCCCTCCCCAACTCCCTCCTCAACTCCCTCCTCAACAAGCGGCAGCCGCTGCTCAGCATCCAATGTTGGCCCCGCGGCCTGTTGATCCAGTGACGATGGGATACCACTCCTTTCCGTCCCAAATACTTCCACATAGTCAAATCCAGCCGATTAATGCACCCCCTTTCTATTACCCAGCAACTCAGGCGCAGCCGCCAACCCACATGTGGCACACTCAGCCGATATATGAAGTGGAGAGCACGTTGATTCCGTCAAATGTGACTGACTTCTCACCAGTACAGCAGCCAGTTCAGCGGGGTCAGACGAATGTCTCACGTAGGTCCCATACAGACATACAAGATGTACCCCAGATTACCAGTCCAATCGGTCAGACTGCTGAAGAATATGCCTCCAATCTCTCCCCGATGCCACCTCGCAATCCGGTGGCAGTAAACAGGGAGAGAGAAATCAACAACATCCCTCAGGTATGCATTGCCGTGACCTCTTTGTTTTACAGCTGGTATACTGAGTACGGTACTAGATTACGCAGCCGCTGCCTACGATTTATCATTATCAGTCACCACCAGGGCAATTACCACAGCAATTACGACCTCACGAGCAGTTTATACCCCATCAGATACCCCATCAAACACAAGTGGTATACATGGAAGATGAAAGCGAGGATTATTACGACGTGGACTCGGATGATGAGATGGTGGATCAATCGCAGGCCGAAGGCTTCAACCAGCTGAGTCTTATCATGGCCTCTGCTAACCGCGATGAGCGACAACTCCGCTCCTTCACCACTTACTTGAACGAACCTAATGTGCTCGCCTCTTACCGTCCTACACTTGGCTCGTCTCCCCTGAACAACCCAAAGACCGCCCGCATCTTTGCTCACTTCATCCACTCAACTGGTCCATCCTTGTCCATATTTGAACGACATCCTACTGACTCCTCGATTGTTCTGGGGGCAGCTGTTCCATCTGCACAACAGGGTCTATGGGTTTACACGCTTGCCCTCAAAGCTTTGGAGCATCCGGCCCTCCTCCAGGCAATACTCGCTATCAGCAGCTTACACATTGCATATTTGCAGCAAGTTCCCACCACTGTATCTTTGAAACATTATCACTACGCCTTGAAACGAGTTGGCTCCGCAGTCGGCCTTCCCCTCAGACGCAGACAAGTCGGAACCTTGGCTGCCACTCTTCTACTAGGCTACTATGAGGTGATATCTGCCGACCACTCGAAATGGAATAATCACCTGGGTGGGTCCACCCATCTTATCCGGGAGATCGACTTTGCCAAGACCACCAGAGATCTACGGGCCCATCGACGTAGAGCCCACGAGCAGCGACTCCGGTCAGGATGGACAAGCTCTTGGTGGGGGATGGCTGGCGACGTCTCTGAGGATGATCCTTTTGCGGAGAAAGAGGACAGCCTAGATGAGGATTTAATTGGCACCATCATGGGACGAGCAGTCAACTACGACCATTTTAGATCCACCAACGAGGATAGTACGCTTCCCCCAAAAAGCATTTTACCCGCAAGGATATTGAGATTTTCCGGATTCAATGCGATCTGTACTGGTGGTACGCAAAGCAAGACGCATTTCAGAGTTTCATTGGCGGAAACAAACTATTGTAAGTCGACATGTACAACTACTAGCAGACATACGATATGCTTATTTGTAAACTAGAATGCCCTACTCTCAATGGGGTCAGTGTCCGCCTCGAGCAGGCATTGGCCGTTTAGATGCCATCTACGGCTCCGCAGATCATCTGTGGCTACTGCTCGCTCGAGTCACAGATTTTGCCTGGCGTGATCGCAAACGCAAGTTGAGTACCCTGAAGGCAGGTGGTGTGGACTGGAAGCCAGGCCCTGAGATGTTCAAATTCATGGGCCGGTTCGCTGGCGGTTCTCCCGGTCAACGACCAGGACCACCTGGCGGCTTCGGTCCGGGGGGTCCCCCTGGCCCTCCATCTGGCCCGCCAAATATGCAGCCTGAAGGATACCCCAAGGCCCCACCCATGGCAGATTCTGCTGGTGTCTCTCCTGCTTCAAGCCCGGGACGGACCTCAGCCGACAGTCCTCCAATGTACGGGATGATACCCCCTCAACCGCCTGCACGCCTCCCCTCAGGATTCCAGGATCGACCGCTTGAGCCTCGTTTGTCTCCAGACGAGGATGACCCTGCTCACGACATGAGCTACAAGGAAGCAGAACAAGAATGGGAAGAGATCCTGGCTGCCATGGACATATTCTCCAAAGCGTTGGGCCGCGATTTTCAACCTTTGCCAGCGGATGTTGCACCCCCCATCTCTACGCCGTTCGGTCCCGCTCTCCAGTATCGTACCCACACCATCGCCGCGATCTGGGCGTTTTACTATGCCGTGCGCCTTCTGTTCTATCGGATTCATCCGTCCATGCCGCCGGCCATCATGATGGCAGCTGGGGTAGCTGCTCCAACGACGGCCGGATTTTCACAGACCATTGGCAAGATTATGGCGGGTGTCTACTATCCGCAACGCTTTAACCTTGAAGCCGGAAGCTTGAGTCCGAATTTGGGTTCTGGGTTGACAGACATGACAGTCCCGGTATTCTTTGCAGCTGTTCAATTTACTGATCCCACACAGCGAGCTTGGACGATTTCAAAACTTCGCGACATCTCTCGCTTGACTGGATGGAAGAGCGCGGATGCAATTGCAGGGGGATGTGAGAAAGCATGGTTAGTCGCTGCAAAGCAAGGTCGTGGGCCACCCTATCAACGGTCATTTGAGAATGACCGAACACGGGAAAAGCAACAAGAGCATGAGGTAAGCGTGTCTATTGGATATCCTTGGCCTGTACCATGGCAAGCTAATGTGTGCGCCACAGACTGAGGCTGTGCTAAAGGAAGTTGAAGATCGTCGATTTGTGACAGTCAAATTGGATCGAGCGCATTGGGCTATGGGGATCTTGGAAGAGGACATTGCGAATTTAGAGGTTTAGGACTGGTGGAAATACATGTACAATGCATCAGTACCTACATACATCCATAGGACATATATTAGGCACAACACACAGTAGTGCCCGTAGAAGACGTGGCGCCGGTAGGTATTCAAGTATTCCCCCCACATTCAATTCTAGTCCGACCCAATGTCATCACTGATCGATCGGCTTCTGCCTGACGTTTAACCTATCTTCTTTTTTTTTTTTTTTGTCTCTCATTCCTCCCAAGGCTGATTTTTGATTTCTACTTTCTGTTGCTTTCTGCTCACTTCTGCCTCTCCAAGTGTTTCATCTTTCAAGTTCTATCAGTCTCGCCCGTGGTTCCTCGAAAACCCCACCCTCGGTCCGGAAGTCAGCCGCTCGCGTCATCCACGGTTCACTCTGATTTTGTTCCAGGGGGAATCCGGTGATACTCTCAGAATGTCTCGGTATGATGACTACCGCTCATCAACAGGGACCCTGGACTCTCGCGATCGCTACGATCGATACTCACGGGGTCCCCCCGTGCTCGAAAGACCGCGCTATGCCGAAGAGCGGTTTGAAGCACGCCTGCGTGACGAAGACCGATATGGACCCCCTGCGCGCGCACCTGGGAGACTCTATGAGGATGACCACTTAGACCACTCACTGCCTGCCAACTCTCTTGTGGCGTATGACCGAAGCCGACGCCGTGATGACAGTCCCTCATTTCGGCGCCCCCAACTTATTAGGCGGCAGTCCTCCTTGGACACCTTTGACCGCATACCCCGGCGCAAGATGGAACAACTTGATGCCCGAGCTCGCGCACCTCGCGCTCCCCGTATACCGGTCGTTGCTCCGCCTCGTCCACGGTTCTCTCCGGGCCGTTATCGTGAGCGAGAAGTCTACGAGGATATTAGGATTGCCGAGCCCGAATATTATGGTGATGAAGAGTTCAGAGATATTCGTGACCGAGATATGGTTGATCGTCGCCGCCGCTCTAGCAGCACTGTTCGCAGACATGAGAAGCCTTACCCACGCAAAGGGAAGACCCGCATTCCTCGTCACCTTGCTCATATTCATGCTATCATGGATCTAGGGTATCCATTCAAGGAAGAGGTCAGCGTTCTATCTTCCCACGATCCCGTTGCCGGCTGCTGACTCGAGTAGGGAAGTGTGATAGTCATTCAGAAGGCATTGTCGAAAGAGCAGATCGACGAAGTGCTCAGCTTGAGCCGCGAGTTCAGGCGACCTGACCCTGTGGAAAGTGAGTGGCATCCACCCTCATCTCCTGAAGTTCTTACGAGGAAGAGTCATACTAATTAGAGGCTGCGAACAGCCGAATACATTGACTACTCCCCTTCTCCTCCATTGAGGGAACAGCCACGCGAGCAGGTGACAGAATATTTGCGCGTGGAGGCTTCTCCCCGGACCAGCCAGGCATTAATCGTGGAAGCAACACCTACTCGGCATAGGTCACGGTCGCGCCACCATGTGGATCAGTACGAGGAGATTGTAGAGAGGCCGCGAGTGCAAGAAGTCTCCCGGCGACGAGCTGTATCAGTAAATGATCGTGGTCCTCGTATCGCTCCCGTGGAGTATATCGAGGAGCGGGATTCTACTGCTGTTCGCACGGGCCCGATGGTTGTCGTCCGTCCACGGGAGAGCGATCGCGACGCGAGCGATTACATACGCGATTTGGAAGAGGAGATGAGACTTCTCCGTCTGGAGCGACAGGGTGGAATTGAGATCACTCGGCAACGCGAAACAGATATCATTGACGATAGAGGGAATCAGGAGGAAATCACCGAGACCAGGACGCAGGAGCGTGCAGGTATGCTGCCCTAATTACCACATCTTTTTCGGTGATTCTGACCTTCTATAGAACCCAACTCTCGCATCGTGCGTGCTATGTTGGCAACTCTGACCTGACCTGACCTGGCTTCCTTTCTGGTTTCCTGCTTTACTTATGAGAGAATTACGACGCTATGATTTTTATTTGATTCCAACGTTCTGGGTTCTGGAAAGGGATTTCCGGATTTTTTCTATGTATCTTCTTAGTCAATCTGCAGGTTATTTTAGGCACAATATTGCAGGCTCGAGAGCTTACTCCCACAGGAGGCTACTCCGAATATGCCCCATGAGTTTGACTTACATCTTGAGGTCAGTAAAAGTCCAACAAAGTTCCCAAAGATACAAACGCATTGTATTATGGATGCCTGGTATGTTGATATGTGGCGTAAGTGAGGCGGTGCAAGGTCGAGGCTTTGTCCCGCCCGCGTAGCACATGTAATGATATCCCATCATCACTCCAATCTATTTTCTATCCTCTCTCCCTTTTTTTCGTTCTAACTCAAAAAATTCAAAATACACCAATCATGGATCGAATGCAGGCATTCGGAAAGAACTTCAGGTGAGTACACCGTTGTAGGCCCCTATTCCGCGGTCCCTATCCCCCTCGACTTGTGATCGGTCGCTTTACTAACATCTTCTCGCCTTGTGGTTTTCTGACGGGTAGTGCAAGCTTTACGCCTTTTGCGCAGCGTACCCAGCAAATGATCAAAGAGCAACTGGGCCAAGCCGACGACAAGACCCAGCTCCCCGATGAATATATCGAGCTCGAGAAGCGCGTCGATGCGCTCAAGCTTGTCCACCAGAAGCTGTTGCAGGTGACGTGAGTAATTCCAGTTATTTTCTGCGCTATGGATGACTTCCCCAGTAGGGGCTAACGGGCGCCATCTTGAACAGCTCCCAATACTCCAACGAGGCCTACGACTACCCTCCCAACATCCGCGAGTCCTTCAATGACCTGGGCCGCACTATCAACGAGAAGGTCCAGCTCCTGTCCCAGGCGGCCTCGCCCGCTGAGGCACAAGCTGCCCTGACAGCTCCCCCTTCCGCAAAGCCCCAACCCAAGACCTTCAACCACGCGATTGCCCGTGCCTCCCTTGCCGGCTCCCAGACACTCGCGCAGAGCACCGAGGGCGAGGACCCCCTCGCTACTGCTTTGGAGAAGTATGCTTTGGCCGAGGAGCAGGTTGGCGAGGCTCGTTTGGCACAGGATGCTCAAATCCAGTCCCGCTTCCTGGCTGGCTGGAACACCACCCTTAACACCAACTTGATGTTCGCTGCGAAGGCGCGTAAGAATGTTGAGAATGCTCGCTTGATGCTTGACTCAATCAAGGCTAGCAAAAAGGCCGGTGCTCACGGCGACCTGGATAACCTCAGCGAGGATGCCCGCGCAGAGATTGAGCAGGCCGAGGATGAGTTCGTTGGTCAGACTGAGGAGGCTGTGAGCGTGATGAAAAACGTATGTTGCGATTGAATCTCCCTCTTTGCCCTTTTGTTAGTATTTGAAATCAGTACTGTGGTACTAACGGCGCTTGAAACAGGTCCTTGATACCCCCGAGCCCCTGCGCAATCTGGCCGATCTGATCGCTGCCCAACTTGAGTTCCACAAGAAGTCATACGAGATCCTCAGCGAGCTTGCTCCGACTGTAGATGCGCTGCAGGTCGAGCAGGAAGTAAGTTCTCGGCCACGATCGTTTTAATCCCCCATCATATCTAACCTTGTTTTTCCTAGGCCAGCTACCGTAAGATTCGCGAGGGCGCCTAAGCTTTGTTTTAAATGGACTGTTCCTTCTGTTATCCTTCAGCCTGGCTTCGATTTTGTCTGTTACTCTTAAGCCATGGCCTTGTGTTTTGTATCTAAGCGGCTTTGCTTCTGCGGAGCCAACCCAACAGATCATTCAGTCTGAATTTTTGGACTTGAAACTGAGTCCTCCTATCCACATTCCCTTAAAAGGTCATCTTGTAGCGGAAACGTAGGGTAAATTCCACTTTCACTGATGTATAGATGTCATATGCGCCGCCCGGTCTCGATCCACCGCCCGCCAATTCTGCCTCAGGCGTCAGCATCCCGCTAGCTCCAGGAGCTCCGACATCAACGGAGATACTCCAACTCGCCAGGTCGCCTTTTTAAGCTTGCAACACACCCCAGGCTGCATATTTTACGAAGAAGGCCTGCGATAATCGATTCCCCAATACGCACTCAAAGCACCATCGACCCGATCCCAATCGTGCTACGGTGCACCGAACAATCGATTACTTGTCCGTCCACCGGCGCCTTCAAAGGATCCCGATATTCAAGAACACTCGTGCGGAACATTGATACCATCGACGCAACGGTCAGCCTCATTGTGTTCTGCTCCATAGCTCGCTCACACTTCGCCCACACATTCACATAACACACCGAGTAATCTCCACTCTGGGTTGTGCATTACTCCGGCGAACGAAGATAATAACAAAATACCGGCAAAATGGCAAACGGGTACGTTTCCTTCTTCTTGAAGCCATGACATCGCAATCGTATCTGGCGCCATAGGTCGAAAGTTATCTGGATATGACTGTTCGCATTGTTCAATCTATCCCGTCACGCCTCGACATCCCGATACTTCACTCGATATGGAAACAAAGCTACAATCGCTGACGTGAAATTCAACAGCTGGAGCTTGGTCATTGGCCTGGTCATCATCGTCGCTCTCTCGACAGCAGCATGGTTCCTCAGCCCGAAGGGCGATAACCAAACGTGAGTGCATGCTTGCATGCCGGGTGTCGAGCCCGGCGGCCGTTCCTTTTGAAGATGCAAGCACTGAGAATACTAATTTTGCTATCTTCAGTCTCTTTCGAAGCACGCTCATCCTTACCTGCGTTTCCTGTTACTTGATGTGGGGTATGTTTGTTGATACCAATTCTCTCTATCCATCCATATCCTCGAACTATGTGCACTACATGGAAGATGCTAATGTATTCAATATAGCGATTGTCTTCCTTGCACAGTGGCATCCCCTCATTGCACCAAAGCGGTCAGACATCAGACCTGATCGCGTACCGCAATAGAGGCATTTCATTTTTTGATACCTTGTTGTTTTCGTCAAACCTGTCGAGTGACATTTCGGGAGAATGTTGCTTGAGAGAAGTTGTCTCGTCTCATCTCGTCGTGGGATAGTATTGGATGAAGCTTATCCCATCCCACTCTGCGATATGCGTGGGCTAGACGGGAATGAAGACGCTTTTCATTCCCTGTGCTTAGGCTTGGTAGCGGGCTGCTTGTGGAATTGGTCTGCATTGTGAACCTATGTGGGTTCGTAGCTGCTTCATGTTTTTGTATAGTTCTTGTCCTAGATGGCCTTTTCTTCGCAGCGTTTTATCTGTATGTTTTCGTTTTGGTTCAGTCTAATTATTGCTCGGCTTTCTTTTGTATGGAAAGCATTCATATCATTTTCAGTCACTTGACTAGATCAATACTACTAGGACCCACACCTATGTCTAAAATTGAGGGAGGATGTTGACCATGGAGTTCCCTCTAAGAGTCACTAGACGTAGTGATATGCTTATTGAAGCAACTTGGACGTCAATAAAGGAATATTAGATTATTTCTTGCATCAGGTATCAAACTATTAATATGAAGCACTTCATTAACCAACTCCTACAGCACCCAAGATAACCCTCTGCACCGCCCACCGAGCGATTTGGCCCGCAACGGCAACAGCGACAGCACGCAGATACCCACAGCCAAGTAAGATATACAAAGCCTCGATATTGCTCAGAAGCACCAGGTGTGTATCAACGACACCAAGAGAAAGCAACGAAGATAGCAAGTCAAAAAGCCCCGTCAGATAACTAGTCGACGTGGAATTCTGGAGCGAAGAAGCCATGGTAGCCAACCACGATTCCAGCAATGAAGAAGAACTCGCCGGAGGCAAGGGCGGAGATAAGATAGCTGCTTTCGCAGAAAGGAGCGAAGAGGTTTTCGTCGCGGTAGCGAGCAGGCTCTGATGCACCGCGCTCGGTATCGTAGCCGTCTGGGTCGGGGACCGTATCTGAGCTGCGGTGTGACTGTGCGCTGGGATATTCGAGAGGCTGCCATTGCCGTCAGGACCCCAGATTACCAGCAAGATGGGGAAAAGCTTGGCGCAGCTGCTGACTAGCAGGGCGGTGCTGATTGCTGCTGGGCTTGCGGCTGTTGGAGGGGGCAGGGGTTGAATATTCTGCATTGGGGCTGTTGATGTCCGGCGCAGCGGCGGCGCAGGTCGGGGCGGTGGTCCCACTGATGTGCCTTGCGGGGATGATACCTCGGCTGGAGGGTTGGCCTCGCTAATTGCGCTGGGATTTGGGGTAGGGTTTGGTAGGCTTGTGGGGGCGTTGGCGTGGTTCTGGGTTGGTGGGTTTATCGGCACCGCGGATGGTGAGGGATGGGTTGGCGTAGGGGGTCCAGAGGGGAAGGGGGTGGTATCCTTTGTAGATTTTGTGCCAGGATTAGTGCTGGCATTGTTGCCGTTGTCTGGTCCGCTATATCGGCGCGATTTTGGAACTAAAATTGAGGCCAAAAGGCGCACGGTGAGGTGGTGCGCGAGAGTTGCGGCAGCGTTCAAGCTAAGGAAGAAGAGGTATTGGACAACAATAGGGGCGCGTGACAAAAAGGTCGTTGCGAGGGATGGATCCTTCTCAATGCGTGCCCAGGTTAGGTAGACATCGAAGAGAAGCAGGAGCACTCCTAGCCGAAGTATGGACCGCTAAAAGGCCGGCTTGTCAGCAAGTGACTGACAATTGTTCAAGATGATATTATACACCCACATCGAACTGGTTGTCGTCTCGTCCAAGCCGATTGAACAGGAGGTGTCGGTATACCTAGTTCCACTGTCAGCCAGGTTGATCTCTAACGGGCGTATATATGCTTACCTGGGGCTTAATGAGCACCAAGTCAATGAAGAGCACGACAAAGTCATATTCAACGTATTTGTCGGCAAACCGCTGACAACGCGGGCATTGCGTTAGTCGCACACCCTTGCCTTGAGACCGGTCATCAGCACGGCTGTAGGCACTGTACAGGTGAGAGACCGGATAGGAGCACTCGATGCAAATAGGCATCGTGTTACATCCATCGGAATGTTGGAGGGTCCAGATTGTAGTTGTTCTGTCGCGATATTGAAGGCGGTGAACCCAAGGTACCTCTACCTCTTAGCTAGGGCCTCCATTTGGGCTTAGTACAGCCGTAAGATGCATCTGATTCGTCAAATCCGCTTGCTTCTTCAACTACAATCTATCTTTGTGTAAATCGTCTTTTTTTTCTCTTCATTGCATACCGGTATCGACTGGATGTAAATATCTATAAACAAAGTCCAAGGCTGACACTTTAACCTTGTTTCACTTCTTTACTTCAAAGAAGATTGATCATTGAAATGAGTATGTGGGTAGCATACTTAGTCGCCCGTAGTACTCAGTAGTCATTTCCCTAGGTATACTGCTCCTCTGTATCCGTTCTACATAAGCCGGAGTAAAAAAATGGGGGGTCAGGAAGAGCTATCCAGGTAGAATTCAAGGTAAATACTACTTCCGTGGAGCCAATCCTACTCAGATAAATTGCCATGGCCTATTATCCTATGTATGCACCAGTCTACATCATCGGTCTCAATCGCCAAAAAATGGAATATAGGAGCCAAAAAGAGAAGGAAACTCCGATAGGGGGAATCGAACCCCCGGCTGCCGTGTGAGAGACGGCGATGTTAGCCACTACACCATATCGGATGGGCTTAATAACTTAGAATTTTGAATTCACTTGTGTGTCCACTTACAGTTTAGCGCTCTTTTTCCTTATGCCTCCCCGTGCGTGGTTTTATGCGGAGTGCAGAGAGCTATAGAAGAAGAAGAGAGCTGGAACAACCAATAGAGTAAGAACCGGAGAAGCCGGGATATATCTCTGTCAACATAATTATCTTACCTAGGTAGACTGCGACATCGCCCATGGACGGGCCGGTGGGCGAGGCCCATGGGCCTTTTTAGTAAGCAAAATTAGCTTCACACGTGATTCTTATTGACAGATTTCAAAATATTTAACTAAATTTGTATATTTTATATACTTATACTAATGATTCCGGATTTTTAACAAGATATATATAAACACTACATAGTACAATTGACTATATAACTAGTTTATATATATATTTGAGATAACTTTATATAACGGTGAGTGTAGTGGGCGCACCTATGGGCCTTGGGCCCCTAGGAGGGGCCCATGGACGGGCGATGTCGCAGTCTATAACCTTTTCCACGGATAATTTTGATTAAGGGTTGTTGATTATTATATTACGTCTATAAATCGTCATTGCGTACATGACTATATATTGACAGGCAGAGAATTTAATAAGTACAGCTTTCTCCCATCTCCAGAATTTGACATCAAAATGGAAGACAAGTACCTACCTGCTCTATACTATAGTCTCGGTGTTATAGTCATAGTTATTGTCTATTCCACTAGCTTCGTTCTTGGAAATTGGCAAATACGTCGATGCCATTGTTGTGTCCTTCATGATCTTGTATCGAGTCAAAGGAGCAGTCACCGCGGAGATACCAACCCCTCTCCGGTTATCGATTTGTCTATCGTCACCACAATACCTGATCCCCCAAGATCAGATATAGATAGAAGTACCTCGATCTACGCCGCCGATGACCAGTTCACTTATTCTTCAATTCGCAAAGCCGCGACTATATAGATATGGCAACTCGGTAATCAAGCCTGAAAGGAAGATACCATTTGAACCGCTACTTTTTCTCTTGTTATACTTGCTTCTCCTTCGAATCACTACGCCATAATCGATATATGACCTATCTTGAATCTGGACCGTAACTAGAATAGATTCCTTCGGAATATGTGATTAGGGTTATAGCCACCATAAAGTTGGCATTTAGTAACTCTCTAGGGTTCTTTAGAAAAACTAAGATCTAGATTGTGGTTAGGGTCCGCCAAATAGATGTCGATTGGCTTTATTCCGTCATTTTTACAGCTATTTTCTTCGCGATCTTTAAGGGAAACGTGGAAAGGTGAAAATTGAATGCCCCGCAATATTATATAAAGTGCTTAACCTACGCTAAGAAAAGAGTCAAAGATCAGAGAACTTCTTCTTAGGCAAATTTCTGGGATTTATCTTTACACATTCTCTGGGAATCAAGGTATCATGCAAAATGTCCTATATTAATCAAAATGGGCAAGATCATGATTCGGAGGCGCTGCCTCTATCTGTTAGACGATACGACTATAAAGACAAAGATCAATTTGATCAAATACTGACCCTCGAACGTGAACGTCTGCTCGATTCAATGCGCCATTCTCGTGTAATTTCCGACATCGATACTGGATCTGGCAGGAGCGAACAAGAGCCAACTACTGAGATTACAGAATACATCATCTTCTCCATTGATCCCACTACATTCAACCGGGATTTCCTCAGCTTGGATGCTATCCCAAATTTTTCAATCCGAACATCTTTCAACCCGAATACCAAAACACTCATTGTCAAAATGGTTACTGGCGAGCATACCCAACTTGCCTTCACGCTGCACAGAGCCGTCGATAAGGCCTTAGCACGAATGGGACTTGACGAAGCTTTATACCAATACCTAGGAGTTGATATCGATATGAATGGCCGCAAAAAACAGCCAGATATGGGCTGGGGGCCAAGGCAACCTCTTCACAGCTATCCAAAGCGGCCCTCGGTTGTGTTGGAAGTTATGGTCTCCGAAACGCCAAAGAAACTTCGACAAGATGTTGACCTTTGGCTTGACCCAGTACGAGGAAATGCAAATGTGGTAATTGCAATCAAACTCAGTCGCCGGCGAGCTATGGTCACCATTGACTTATGGAAACGGGATACTGTCGACGGCAAATCTATCAATTCCCAACACATTGAGGTCTCTAAAAACAAGTACGACGAAGTCAAACTTTCTGGAGGTCCCCTCGTCATCCCCTTTTGTCTCCTTTTCCTACGAGATCCTCAAACACCACGAGAAACCGACGTTATCATCGACAAGGAATGGCTACAGATGGTTGCCGAGTTAGGGTGGGAAATGCAATTTTCGAACAGCCATTGAAGAGTTGGTGGTGTGGCCTGGTCTCTACGTTCTTATCTTGAGTTCTTCTCTTACGCTTTAGTTCTAGATAGTGGTGATTCCCAAGGGATTCGTGTAATTCAATTAGAATTATTGATTTCTTGTGATTACTGTCTCAGTGAGTGGTTCACGGATCAGGTTTCTTTCCGCTTTCCGCTTATACTATTCTTATGTTTTCTCATTTTGCTATGGCTATTGCTTCATGATTGGTCTTAAATATTATTTCCATTATCTCGGTACTGTGTTTTTGGATGTTTTCGAGTGGTTGTTTCCCACTCACTTAGCGCCATGGCTAGAGATTGTTCCTTTTTTTTTTTTTTGGCTACGTCGTTACGATATCTCGGTGAATAGGACACGATTTTGTGGACTCAAAACCACGCCGAAATGTGATCATTCCACCGCCATCTCCTATTGCACCATATCGGAAAGGAACTGCAAATCGCTACCTAGGTATTTATAATTCAATAGGTCCATTTGTGGTTTAGCGGTCTTTAGTGCGTCCCTATGCGTACGTAATACGTACATGGGCGGGAAGCTGGAGCGGGAGCTAAACCAAGACAAGAAGATCCACTCTTTAAGCTCCGATCGCGTCTCCCTCTTCAAGCGTATCTTTCTCTCTGACAAGATCTGCTGTCGAATGATTCACCAAGATGGAGAGAGTTGATGCATATCAGCCCGTCGGCCCCAAGGATAAGACGGTTCCGATCATACGGGCCTTCTACGCCTATCTTCCGGAAAATGGGAGGGTCAATTTCCTCCACCATCTCCAGTCACTACAGACTAATCAACAACTGCATGATCATGCTCAGTCATTGATCGACGGCCTAGTGGCACCATTAAGATCGCTGCGCTCGACCCCAAGTAGTTCACCGCGTCTTGGAATGGAGGACTCCATTGATAATATCGCTTCCGAGTCGGCCGGACCGATGCGAAGAGAAGCTCGCCTCAAGACAGAGTGCCTTGCCCGTGATGGCAGCAGATGTGTTGTGACTGGACTTTTCGATGAAGATTCTCTTGACGCAGACAGCACCAGCCCCTCAACATACACAGAATGCGTGCACATCATCCCGTTTTCCCTTGCATCGTGGAGCACGGAGTCTGAAGGCTATGCAAAAGACATCATCTGGACAAACCTTATCCGCCATTTCCCAACTATCCAGGCGATAAATTTTAACCGGCAGAACATCAACGATACTAACAATGCAATGACCATGTCAAGTGAGCTACATCGGTCCTTTGGCCGGTTTGATTTTTCGTTCGAAGAAACATCCCAACCCCACAAATACCGCATTCAAAACTACCGCCCACGACTACGACTACACCTCCCTCGAACCGTTGTATTCAACGGGTATGACCAAAGTTACGATCTGCCGAGCCCCGAGCTTCTCAAGGTTCATGCAATTACCGCGCGTATCTTTCATGCATCTGGAGCAGCGGAGCAGATCGACAAGGCACTCCGTGATCTAGGAGAGCACTGCGTACTAGCAAAGGATGGTAGCACTGATATCTCTTCTATGTTGGCCGTAACAACACTAGGTGTCCTCGGTTCTCGCGCTGACAACGTTCAGCAGACTCGAGCAGCGTTCCCAGATTCTCAAACAAGTGCCCAGAGCGTTCAAAATGTTCAAAATGTGGATAGGCGGTTGGGCGAAGAACAGGCTACCTGCGAGGATTATCCACTACGCTCCTAGACGCGTCTTTGGTTTTCTTTAGTACAACTAATCCAATAACGATCACTCCTAGTGAGACCCAATTTCTCCTAACCATCCAACTAAACTTTCCTAAAATTTCTTCCAAAACCCCGAGGCGGTTTTACAGGAGCACTATAACTCGCCTCTAGACTACTATCCTATGACTCTACTTTTACTAACGGAAATTACGAATTCTTACCTGCGGCATCTATTACCGTGCTTGGGCCCTTTCGATCTCTTACTGTGTTTCTCCCGCTTTTCCATTCTCCTCATCGTCATCCGGGCTCTGAAGGTAAGGCAGTTTTCCTATTATCAACCCCGATCACCGAGGCCACTCTTATTGCGATTTATCAAGACCGAGATCTTAGGCCCTTGGCTCGCTGCACCAACCCCCGAATCTGTCATTGTGTATACCAATCGGTCGGCCAGCTGTGAAACTATTGAGAATGTAGAAAATATTTAGCCTGCGCTATCTCTGGAAAGTCGCTTGTATATATGTAGCGGGACTCTGTCTTCCTATAAGACTAGAAAGGGGGATTCTATCTTGTAGATATCTGAGAAGAATGACCGGGAAGCCCACTGGGAAGCTCATTGAGAAGGCTGCTAGAAGGACCACTAAGAGCCCTGTAAACAGGCACCATGAAGCCGCATCAGCCGCCATCTAGTATTCTTCATATATAAGTCTACAGCCCGGAAAGTTAGAGTAGAGGGACAAAGAAGCTGCCGCGATTAAGATCACCATGGTCCATGAAATGACTGAGGGTTGTAGTTGTCAAGGCATGATTTTTTTCTCATTATTTTCTATTTGGTATAAAAAGCCGGTAAGATATAACTCGATGAAGGTATTTGCAGGGCAAGCAAATTGATCGACTTAGTACGTAGTGAAAACTAGGCAATATCACCAAAGTGACATCTAACATTCCCACTAGAATCCCAGCACGCTAGGTGCTTGTAACCTTTATATTGAAAAGTTGCGAAGTGCGTTCCTACCGCATACCACCGAAGTGGTCGTCCAACACGCCATCGTTACATAATAGCATAGTCACTTCTAGCGTCTACAGAATTTGGCATTCCTTCCAGATCCTACTTAAGATACGAGCAATGTCTGAACCCAATGAAGGTAACTGTGGCCCAGAAGGGCTACCTTTGGCTGTCAGACGGTACACCTATCGAAAGGAAGACTTTTCCCAAATCGTGAATCTTGAACGCGAGCGCCTTTACCGTTCAATCCATCCTATCAAAACTATGTCCAATGCAATCAACAAGGATGGAAATCCAAGTGCTTCCGAGAAGTATGATGATGTGTCTGAATACATCATTTTCTCCATTGATACAGCTACGCACGATCGCGACTTCCTCGACCCGAATATCGAACCAAATCTTTCTATCCGCACCACATTCTACCAAGATATTAATTCACTCGCCGTCAAATTGGTCCTCCACGAGCATGAAGAGCTGTCCGCTGCTTTTGAGCTAGCTATTGGGAAAGCATTAGATTCTATGGGGCTCAGAACATCATTCTACCACTACCGTAATACCACTATTTCTGTGGCCAATGGCTCAAAGGAACCAGATGCAGCGTGGGGCCCAAGAAGACAAGTACCTGGAAGGCCACGTAGACCAACTGTGGTACTTGAAGCGGCAATCACTGAGACGCGCCCTAAATTGCTTTTTGACGTTCGCCGGTGGCTCGACCCGAGCGATGGTCTCGCGCAGGTCGTACTAGCTATAAAGGCAACCCAACGGCGGCCTAAAATTACTATCGAAAGATGGCAGTACGATAGAGTCAACGCAGATATCGAAAATGTCCAAACTATCGAGATCACTGGGAACAGTGAAGGTGGAGAGGTCACAATAAACGGTGGCTCATTCCTCATTCCTTTCGATCTGTTTTTCCTCCGACCTGCAGAGCCTCCTAGGGAGCACGACATTATCATTGATGACCAAACGCTCAAGGAGCTTGCCCAGCTAATCTGGGAAATACAGTTCTCCGATTGATGATTTTACCTTGGCGTGGCTTTGTCTCTTTTTCTACTTTGTCCAGTTGAGTTATGTCTTCTGCATTGTCATCACGCAGATTGGCTTGTAGCCATCGTCTTAAGCAAGAAGTTAGTCTAGGGGTTTTGTTGTTCTATCAAGCCAAGTTATGGCATTGTTGCTACGTTTAGTTATTGGAAGTCAATCCGAACGATGGCACGAATTTGTGAGCTATATTATTAAACAACGTCAAAATACGACCTTATAAACAAATTTCAAGATGCCCACATTCAAAATAAAGATCTAAACCCAATGAGGCTATGAGTATCACCATACATACTACCTACGTTGGTTGGAGGTGAACTAAATCAGAGATCACATAGATATGCTCAGTCTCTTTTGCACTTTACCAGGACATTGACAGCTGATTCCCATCTGGATTTCCGAAATCCGTCGTTCTGATGATGCAGCCTAGCTCCTTGCGCGTATGAAAGAGGCGTTCTGCCACAGTTGTCCCGATCATGTAGGCCCTGGGAACCGCTCTCTTCCAACATATCAATGATTCCCTGGGTTATCGATCCATTCATCGCCCCATAATGAGTTATGCCTCTGCCATTCACATCTTTTGCTTTCACATTGACACCGAAATTTTTCAGGATCAAAATGACTTCATCATGTGGCGTCCAAGGATAAGCCAGCATCGATATATGAGCCAGATTTCTCCCTGATTCATCAGACCACAAGACAGAAGCACCCTTTTTGAGCAGGAAGCGACAAATTGAGGCCTTGTTGATCTTCAGGTCAGATGACCGTAGATAGAGGCTGAGTGGTGAATTGCCTTCTTTATCAAGTTTGTTCACATCCGCGCCATGTTTTAGCAGCGTGCGAATTAGCTTTTTGGAGTCGCCATCTTCTCGAAGATAATGATGCAATATATTCCTGCCGCTTCCATCTGTCTGAGTGCACGGATTCAACCGAGCCATGTTATAGTATTTTAAGAAAAGTCCGACAACGGCCGCGAAGGATTTTCCGGAGCGAATACAGTATTGAAGGGGACTGAGACCTTCATTATCTAGAACTTCAACTGATGCACCTGCAGCGAGAAGCTCTTTGACCATTTCAAATTTTCCGGTGCGACTGGCAAGATGTAAAGGGGTTTGCCCTTTGCGGTTGCGAATTGAGATATTGGGCTTCTTGTTCATCAGTTTTGAGAGATAAACCATTGGTTCACCCCTACCAGACGCAATCAAATGCAAAGGAGCTTGCAGTTGCTCGTCTTGCAGATTGACGTCAGTACTAGGATCCGATATAAGAATTTCCAATACATTTGAGCGTATTTTGAACACCCGTCGATGCACATCATTGGCTTCTTCACTTTCAGCTTCAACCAAGTCGCTGAGAATTTCAATCCGCCATGCGGGGGATGCCCAAGCATCATTGGGATTTGAATCAATATCTTCTTGAATGGCAAGGTGTAACGGAGTCTGGCCATCCTGGCAACACTTATTAGGGTCGGCCCCTTTAGAAAGAAGGTATTGGACCATTTTCGGGTCCCCAATGAGCGCTGCCCAGTGAAGCGGAGTCAGGCCATGAGAAGTCTTGGGTCCATGAGCATTTCTGTCATTGGGTGAGAGTTCATAAGTCCGTCGGCCACATCCTTCTGTTCGATGCCATCTCTTCCTTAGGATGCCGTGATTGACACATGCTCCTGCTTGAATCAAGGCCTCTACTGTTGCTGTGGACCCATTGCGGATGGCGTAGTGCATTGGAATCATGTTCTCCACGTCACATATCTCAGAACAAGCGCCTCTGGCTAAAAGAAATTTGGTGATGCGAATGCTGTGATTTCCCCCGATAGCTGATAGGTGCAGTGCACTGCGATTACAGGAGTCCGTAGCTTCTATTGAGGCCCCAAGATTCACAAGCTCTTGAGCTGGCTCAAGCTTGAGTTTCTTTACTGCAGTGAGAAGAGGTGTCTCGCCATCCATGTCTGTGTACTCCATATCTGCCTTGTATCGCACAAGGAGCGTTATCAAACGTAATTCATCTTGATCAGCAGCATAGTGCAAGGCTGTCTTTCCTTCCTTGTCCGCCCAGTTGACTCCAAGGCCATGGTTCAACAGCAGTTCAGCAGCTTCCACTTGTCCATTTTGAGCAGCCCAGTGCAATGCGCTTTGGCCATAATCATCTAGTGCATCACAAGTTAAGTTTTTGGCAAGAAAGTAACGTAGACATTCTGTAAGGCCAAAGTATGCTGCAGGATGTAGTGGTGGGGTTGTAATTGAACTCTGCTGCTTGCTTCGCCAATTGTAACGATGGGGAAACAGGATCCGGAGAGACTGCAAAATAGCGTTCTCGCTTTGAACAAATCCTTGCGCTGAATCTTTCACTTCTGAGTAGGATATCCGTGCATGATAGCCCCAATTCTTGGCCGCGTACTGGAAAAGTGGGAAGCGTTCAAGATAGTCTTGAAACTGACTCTGAGAGGTAGTAAGCCCAAATTGGAGTGTTTCATGGCGTAAGTATGAGATACATGTATTTGCAAGGTGACCATGAGCGTCCGGAAAGAACTCAGTCCAGTTGTTTTTGAAAAACTCATATCTTGTGTAATGTCGTAGTTGAACAATGCCACTTTGCTCATCAACGGCAATCATACCTGCACACATGGAGATAATGTCATCGATTTCCAAGAGATTTTCCTCGTGGAAACTGTCCTCTCCAAGAGCGGTGGCTAGAGCATGCCGTAGCTCAATTGATCTTAGTGGTTTTGTAGCCCAGACGATCCATGCTAGAACTAATCTCGCTATCTTGGTCGAAAATGGGGGTTGGTTCTCGATTCGCGCCATTCTTTCTCTGTATGCATTCTCCAGAGTAGTAGGAAGCGACTTCAATTTGTCTCGAATCAATTTTGCAGTTGCCTTTTCCCACCCCTGAAGAGATTCGAGGTGAAGTCCAACAAGGAGAAACCTGCAGTGAAGTACTCTAAAAGTGAGCAGGAAGCACAATCAGCATGCTTGCAGTGGGCTCTCACTTACATTCCGTCAGCTGATTTTGTAATAGTGGAAATGACCTCCGACTGAAGTTCGGGTGTTGCTCGAATGGCCCGAAATCCTCTCAAACCGCTCTCCAAGCACGTCGAGATATCGTCTTCATGCGCGCGTACCAATATCCTTGGATTGTTCTGAAAGATCTCTTGAACAGAAGGTATTGATCTAGATGTGACAAGGAGACCAAGATTCTGCCTTCTCTGGAGAGAGCCACAGAAATTCTTCAAATTTTCTGCAAATTCGCCAGGCCATCGGCATTCATCTATGGCATCAACGACAAAAAAGACCCGTGAGAAAGGCGAGACGGCTGAATCCAGAAGGGCGAAAAGTTCATTCTCTGTAGGGCGTCTTTGCTTCTTCTCCAAGGCACCAAAAAGAGATTCCAGGCCACTTAACGGTGACATGTTTTCTTGCAGTAGTTGTCTTAACAAACTTGCAAGGACCGCGTCAATGGTCGGTCTTTCCTGAAATTCACAGTAAAAAAAAGCGATTTTGACAGTCTCATGGGACTCTAGGTGACGTCGCAGTTCCTCGACCACAATTGCCGATATGAAAGTCTTGCCGGCTCCCTCATCCCCAAAGCAAAAAAGCGTACGCTCATCTTGAGGCGTGTCAGAATCTTGAGCGAGCCACTTTCGGAACCTGTCCGTGTCTAAGAACCACTGGCCGGTGTTTTCGTGTCTATCATTCCAAATTTTGGCGTGTGTGACTTCATTATTCTTTGATGACAGCCAATTGAGCATCTTCAAGCGCTTTTTGTCCTCACTAAACTTAAGCATCTGATTGACTCCGTTCGTACATGAAGCCACCATACTTCTGGTTTCTCGAACCACCTGCCTGGTGTATATTAGAACGTGAATCGAGATCATGGCGAAATCAAAAACATACAGGATCGTCTCATTCAGGAAAAGGCTGAAGTGAGTGATCTCCGAGTCAATCTTCTCATGAAAGTAGATGGCTTCTTTGGAATCCCATGTGATCTTCTTCCATGCTCGCTGAATCCGAACTTTTGTGCTGTGGTCGGCACCCATCACGTGTGAATATCTCTCAAGGGTGCCGCGTAATTGCTTCAGTACTTCTCCGCAGTTCTGAGAAAGCACTTTTAGGGATTCTGTTTGCTGATCACTCAAGCTGTGGTCAGGCTTGTAGTCTTCAATGACTCTGAGCACATTGGAAAGTTTTCTGACACTAGAAACTTGTCAAAACAATGATCTGCATATCATAGGAGAGTACCTCAAAGATCCAACTGACTCATCTGCAACCTCTTTGTATTGTATCGGAGCATCTCGAAACTGTTTCCGCAAGTCGTTTGCAAGCTTAAGGATGGCCAAGAAATCGCCTAAGCTGTAGCCAAAGCTCATCATTGGTATCTGACAAGTGACTGGAATAAAGTTGGTAGCCAGAGCCCTTGCAATAAGTTGTGAGACGAGGTGAGCAGAGTGAGTGTACTCATCTTGGAAGAACGGGGCGGGGTAAGTAATCAGCCTCAACAGTCGACAGCTGGAGATACCATGTCTCCGGGCTTTGCCTATGTCGTGATGTGGATGATTAGCTTTGATTTTGCAGAAAGTTCTCTGAGTGAAAAATCCCGGCTCCGGTCAAGCTCGTCAATAATTGACCCTCTGGAAGAATGACATTGTCAGATTGATCTGCTCGATGACAAAAGAAAAGCGGTTATAGGTTAGAGAGAGTTGACCTAGTCGCCAGCGTCGAAAAACAGCTTCCTTGGGCGCGCAAGGGAGATTGTTCTTGCTTAAAGAACTGCTTACTTCTATCAGAGGCCGATCAGACAGGGTTGCGTCTCTGGAATTAGGGGTGTTGGCAAAAAGCGACTCGCAATACCAATCGTCCACCGAGCAGAAGAAATGCCACAAAATTACACTAGATATTACAATTCTTGACTCAGCATGCACCTGTGTATAATAAGGACCTTCCTGCTGTCACCTCTATTCACACCATATTGGAGATTGGATTATTCTTCTGTCGAAATTTTGGGCTCCCAGATGTGATACTTCTGTTCATCGCTGGTCTTGATTTTTGCTGTACTAACGAAGAGAATATACATTTCGATTTATCCTATCAAGATAGTTCCATAAATTCTTATATAATGAGATTGATATCACAAGTCACAATCCGCGTCTTGCTATTTCATCTCCTGTTGTCTCATGACTACATAACATCTACCATATTTTGATCAAATCGCCCTGATCATGAATGGAGACCTACCAGCTCGCACAAGAGAAAGCTGGTATTGCTACAGAATATCCAGAAACTGCGTATCTTGTAAATGGCGTATCACCACTCTCTATTCTTGTATAGGACCTCCTATCTTTTTGACAGTCTTTTGCTAAACGCGTTTTTATATCTTTTTACGTGATATAGAGAGTATACTAGTAAATGATTCCAGAACATCAAATTTCAAGTCATGTTCACTTGGGTATTAGGGTAAGAAACGGAATTAAAACAAAAGGTAATTTAATTACTCCTAAAATAGGGCTTTAACTTTTATGTTTGTACGGAGTATTGTTTGGGCACTAATAGGCCCCTATTCAAAGCCCAATAGGCTATCACCCTGGCCCAGAGCCGACCGCTGGGCCTAGGGACTGGACCCAAAGCCCAGCCCAACCTCACCCGCAAATGGGCTGTGCGTTGGCAGTGGAGGAATAACATCTGCGAGGTTCAGGTAGTCACTGGTGATGATGGAATCCGTGCCTAACGCCTAATAAACCATCACAAGCTGGATAGGTGACTTGAAAGAAGGTGAGATGACCATGCAAATTATCCTGATGTGTGCTGTTTTGGCGAAATTCGATGCAAATTACTCTCGTCAATCTGAGCCAAACGCATACGCCAGTGGTAGCATACATTAACATTGCAAGATAATTTCTCTATCCATAGCATAGGGGGACTAGGTGTTCAAACACTTTCCGCGGCTAAATACCATAAACTGGACTTGCAAGTTATGATTTTCATATAACTTATATGAAACCATATAAGATTCCAATAAAACTACAGTGGTTTTGAGAGAGTACATGAACAGCATAAGAACAAAATAAGAAAGTTATTACATAAAGTCAGTCGATCATCGACCATCTAATGACAGAACAAGGTGAGTGAGTATTATCCAACCAATCACTCCGAGCCCAAGAAAAATTGACATGCTTAGAAAGTGAAAGCAAGAGCGAGAGCAAGGACCAGGGCACCGACAGCAGAGCCGGTGACACGGGTGGCAGAGCTGGCGGGGAGGCTTGGGGAGGCGGAGGGAGAGGAAGAGTCGGAACCAGAGCCAGAGTTGCCGGAGCCGAGGTTGCTACCACCGGTGACAACAGGAGAAGAGCCAGAGCTAGAGCCGGAGGGGACACCGGAAGCAGAGGCAGAGGCCGAAGCGCTCTTGGACTTGGGCTTGGTGGAAGGACGGGTGCCACCGGTCACAAGGGCGGAAGAAGGACCGACGGAGGAGCTAGCGGGGGAGCTGGCGATACCGGAGCCGGAGCCGGAGCCGGAGCCAGAGGAACCAGAGCTGGAGCCGGAGCCAGAGCTAGAGCCAGAGCCAGAGCCAGAGGAGCCAGAGCTGGAGCCAGAGCCAGCAGAGGCAGTGGTGGTGGCAGAGGCAACGGAGGAGAAGCCAGAGGCCGAGGTGCTAGAAGAACCGGCGGCAGAGCTGGAAGATGTGGAAGCCTTGCAGCTCAGGTCGTACAGGGGGGTGGTGTCGGTGGAAGAGCCAGTGACACCGAAGCTGGGGGAAGTAGTACCAGCATCCTCAAGGAGGTACCACCAGGTGTTGGTTACACCCAGAAGAGGGCAGGCAACCTCGTCCCAGTACTGCTTAGCGTTGGGGATGCTGGCCACAGCGAGGTTCTCAGTAGGGCCAGTAGTGGGCCAACCGGTCTCGGTGATCCAGACCTCCTTTCCGCCGGCGATAGCCTTGGTCTTCTCGACGCCCTTGTTGAAGAGGGACTTGGCGTCGTCGATGGAGTTGGGGTCAGTGTTCTCGTAGTAAGGGTATCCATCGAAACCGAGCCAATCGACGGCCTCGACGACGGCAGAGTTAGAGCCGTTGGTCCATGAGTTCCAGGTATCGACGTGGCCGATGGGGGCACCGCTCAGGGAAGTACCAGAGATGGCGGAGCGGACCTGGTTGATGTAGTCAGCAAGCTCGGCGGGTTCAAGACCGGGACCAGCGTTGGACTTGGCACCGATGACAGAGTTGCGGTACAGATCCTCACTGCCAACCGAGATACCAACGACGAGGTCAGTGAAGGCATCGCCGTAGGTGGAAATAGCATTGTTGAGGGCAGCAATCTCGTTGCTCATGTCACCACCGGAAGCCCAGAGACCAAGGAGAAGGGTGGTCTTCTCCTTGATAGCAGCGGGAATGGCCGAAATGGGGCCGTTGGTTGTGCCACCCTGAATCATGGTGTACAGACGGGCACTGGTGAAGGCATGGTCGGTTCCAACGAGGTTCTTAGCGGTCGAGAACTCGGTCTCGAAGTCACTCTGGGTCTTAATGCTGCCATCAACCTTGAGGGCACCGTAGTTGAAGCCCTGAGAGACGGCCTCGGAGGTGGCGATGGCCATCGCGAGGGCAAGGAATTGAGAGGAACGCATTGTGATGATTTAACGAGTGTTGATAGTATGAGATAGAAATGAAAGAACCTGGAGTAAAAGAATGTAGCCAGAAATGTTTATAAAAGGTAAGAAAATAGAAAGTGAAGTTGAGAGTGAAAGTGAGAAATGCAAACGGAAAAGAAGTCGCCTTCTAAAAACCCCGAAGACCCAAAGCCCTCTGAAGACCCAAAGCAAGGTTCCAGGCATGAAAATTCAGTCTAGATGCCGCCACAACGTAGTCCCGTGGATTTTGTGGGTCCGAACACGTTTGCCTGCCCACTTTAATTCTATTTCAACTCCTCCGATTGGTTGAGCCATCAATCAATTTATTCCAAAAATATGCAAAAGCTGTGTGGGTCTTGATGTATCCCATGGATCCCGAGGCTGCTTTCGATGATTTGCCCGATCTCCCCGGATATTTCTATCCGGCTTCGGAAAACAAAGGGTTTCTTCGACTCCCATTTCATAACCCAAGGTTTCATTTTATTGTACCCAAATAGTGGGTCGCAGACACCTTAAGGACGAATACTCCCGTAGTGAGTGTTGTACACCCCATAGACAAATATGATAGAGACACCACGGAGACACCCTGGTGGAGCATAGTGTGTCATTGCATGATCCAATCCAATTTCATCCTTGGAAGGTTCCATCAGGGGTTTACTAATGTCTCCTATACAGTCTATTATTAGGCAGCCCCTTTTTAAGCTCAACCCTTAATAGATTAACGATCGGCCCGTAGGGGCATCATTACGGATTAGTCTGTGGTCTACTATATCCAGTATGCTCCGTGTATTTGTAGCTGTCGAACGGTGCCTCGAATGTTTGTTTTTTCCTGTATGCAGTCCTGACGTACCTGTCATTCTAGCGTATGCAGGTGACACTGACACCTTCGTACCTGCGTGCTGGAAGTATATTTTATGATCCAATCATATCGATTGAAATGTATCATGCCAAATGGTCCAGACTACTGCGTGCTTTTGTCTCAACTTGATGTTGGCTGCTCGTACCTCCGAGCAAGATGACCAAAATACACTTGTTGGCGGCCAACACAGCCTGATCTTGTATCCGGTGACTTTGACCTCGACGATATGGTTGACGTCTGTAATGATATTTCAGATGTAGGTGACTGACGGCTTATAGAAGAACAGTAGTGAATAGATATCATCTTATCACAGCTGAATTTTTATCAAATGATCACAATTTGTAGTACGGAGTACTCCGTATATTGTCAATAATGATAATGGAAGATTGAAAATTAGCGTGGTGCTTTGACATTATTACTTGGCAATCTGGTACATTTATGTGCACAAAATATTAAATTTAAACCACATACAAAGGTTTCTTGGCGCGGTGATATTATGGGATCAAGAACGAGACTGTTATTCCTCCTTTCAAATCATAGCTAATCTTTGGGTCATGTTGTATATGAAATTGGGCTATATGTATTATCACAGTACTATATTTAGCAACTGTCTGCTATCTGCGATAACTGGAAGAGGGGTAATCGTCGGACTTCGAAGGTGCCCTCACTTCCTCTCCTCGACATTAGTCTGAAAGTATGACAATCACCAAGGAAAAGGTTCAGGAGGTCTTGAATAAAGCCGCCCTCCGCTCTAGAGGCCCAGGAGGTACGATCGCTGTCGTAAAAGATGGCAAAGTCATAGGCCAACGCGTGTGGGGATTCGCCGACCTGGACCAACGGATCCCTATGACGGCTGAAACGCAACTACCTATCTGTTCAATCACCAAACAATTTGTGTGTGCGCTGTTGATTGATTTGGAGCGCAATCCGACCCCGACATTAGCTGCAAAAAGCGATGTCCGGAAGCAGCTCTCAGACCATCTCACCGAACTAGTAAACCCGGAGCTCACCCATGACGGTGAACTCACAATTCAGCGACTATGTGACATGCAATCCGGCTTGCGCGACTATTGGGCTATGACCACCCTCTGGGGGTCCAAGCCCGACGATGAGTTCCTAATCGCGAGAGACTGCGGTCCACTGATTACTCAAACCAAGTCATTCCATTTCGAGCCGGGAACGGAATATTCCTACTGCAATTTCAACTACCACATAGTTGCCCGAGTGATTGAGCGAGCAACTGGCGAGTCTCTTGACAAACTGCTCGAAGAAAGAATACTCCGCCCGGCTGGTATGAGCACGGCATTCCTTTGCCCCAACACCGCACATCACCCACCACCATGTGTCGGGTATGAGGGCAACGAGGAACTAGGCTTCACAGCCGGTGTTAACAGAATCGAGTGGTCTGGTGATGCTGGACTAGTGGCTTCACTCAGTGATATGATCGCGTATGAGAAATATCTCGATCGCTGCTACGCTGATCCACAAAGTTGGTACCATACCGCTATCGCTGATCCGAAGTTCAAAGACGGCACTCCTGCGACGTACCGTTACGGGTTAGATCACAGTGACATTGAAGGTGTGAACACGATCGGACATGGTGGTGCGTTGCGAGGGTATCGACTGCACCGGCGGCACTCACCGCGCGATCGTCTGTCCGTCGTAGTTATGTTGAACAGTGAATCCGACGCAGGCGGCCTCAACACTGAGATTTTCAGGGAGCTTTTGGAACTACCGAAGTCTGAGACAGCGCCTGTGCAGCCGGCCGCTGATTGGGTAGGCGCGTTTCTTGACCAGGATACCCAGCTGTCGATTGTCATCACTAAGGGTACACGGGATGGAGAGGTGGCCATCCAATACGATGACTCTGCTACGCCTATCAAGCTTAGTACACCGACTCATGGGAAGTGTGATTCTATGGCAGCGACGATTGATGGGGATTCATTGAGTATTCATCGGGTGGGAGATAACCGGATCCTGAGTGCTCGACGTATTGTCCCGAAACAATCAACCCTTAGAGATACTTCATTCCAGGGTGTCTATCACGGTGCTGAGATTGAATCTACCTTCCACTGCACTGGCGAGGATGGTATGCTATATGGTGCGTTTGATGGATATCTAGGTCGAGGCAATGCCACTCCGATGAGATATCTAGGCGATGATGTCTGGGTTTTGACTTGTCCGCGTGGCTTGGATGCACCAGCCCCAGGAGACTGGACCATTGTCTTTTCTCGGGATGAGCATGATGCAATCCAAGGGTTTACGATTGGTTGTTGGCTGGCAAGGAAGGTTGACTTTGTGAAAAAGTCCTGATGCTTTTGTATCACTACGTGTCAGATACAGTCAATTATAGTCACTGATCCCTCGTACATTTACAATCGCTGTCTATTCCCATCTGCAATGGTTTTATTTTCAAAGCGGCTGATACTTCGCTCCGACTAAATCTTTTGTGGTGACTCTCTCACTAGGAGAAAGGCACCCATGTCCCAATGGACGAAATCTGTCTTGGATTCTCCAAACCGCCCGATGCTTTGAGCTCGGTAAAGTCATCCGTAACATTAGAAACCGTCTTTTGTTGTTTGAGCATCAAATACGGTCATTAGCAAACGTTCCTGTCTGTTGGCTAGGTTGACTTGGTTGAGCTGGGATTTTTCTCATACGGATATGTAGGAGTAAAGAAAACAACTGCATATAATCAGTCCCGCCACATTTGTGATACAATCTAAGCATTTGGGAATTGATCGCACCGGCGCGCTATCTATCAAAATCACAGTCATATTGATTGTGTCGAGCAAAATATGTACAATATTAACACACTCAGTACCAGCACACGCTTTTCTGCGGTTTAATGTTCGGAAACGAAGATACCGGCCATACCCATGCCCTATTTAAAGGAATTAGTATACCATAATATTGGAGTCATAACGATTGGAGGTAACTCACAGTGCCAACACACATCGAGGTCACAGCAACTCGCTTATCCTGTCGACGAAGCTCAGACAGAGCAGTGACAACCTGGCGTGCGCCGGTGGCGCCCAGAGGGTGACCAAAAGCACTTTGAAGCATCAGTATGAAATCAATCAAATTAGGTCAAAGATCACTTACATAGCACCACCACGCGGGTTCACCTTGGACTCATCCAAGGCCAGCTTGCTGACACAGTAAACACCCTGTAATGACGTATGTTAATCTTGCACATACATGGCCAAGTACTTGGTAAACTCACCATTGAGGAGAAGGCCTCGTTAATCTCGAAAATATCAATGTCATCCTTGCTCAAGTTGAACTTGTTCAAGATCTTGGGGATGGCAAGAGATGGACCAATGCCCATAATTCTGGGCTCAAGACCAGAAACAGTAGCGCCACAAAACTTGGCAACAATGGGTTGACCGAGTTGCTGGGCACGCGAGCGCTTCATGAGAACCAGGGCAGCAGCTCCATCGGTAATCTGACTGGCGTTACCGCCGGTGGTGGCACTAGGGGCCCACTGGGGGAAAGCAGCGCGGACCTTGCCGAGGGATTCGACGGTAGTACCATAGCGGATACCATCATCACGGTCAACGACGATATTCTTAACCTCACCGGTCTTGGGGTCTTTAATTTGAGTCTTGACGGGTACGATCTCGTCCTCCAACCAGCCAGCCTTCTGGGCGCGCTCCGCCTTCTGGAAACTCTTGGCAGCGAAGGTGTCGTGTTGCTCGCGCGTGATGTTAAACTGGTTAGCTACATTCTCCGAGGTCTGACCCATGGGCTGAGAGTTCTGAGATGCGATCGGGTGCTTATTGATCTGCTCGGACATTTCGGGGGCGCCGCCGTCGGCGTTCTTGCTCATGCTCTCAGCTCCAACGGCAATTCCGACATCGATGGATCCGGCGATGATTTGGTTGGCGATGTTTTGTACGGCCAGAAGACCGGAGGAGCAGAATCGGTTGGCGATAGAGGCCGCTGCTGTTACGGGGAAGCCTGCTGCCAACACGGCGGAACGGGCGATATATGCGGAGCCGGGGGCGAGGACGTTGCCTACGCAGACATCTTCAACAAGGTTGGGGTCCAAGTTGGACTTCTCGCGAACGGTCGTGAGAAGTGACACGAGGAGGTCATCCACGGTGGTATCCTTTAACCCACCCTTACGGGCCTTGGTGAGCGGCGTGCGGGCCAGGTAAGTGATCACCTGCGAAGTGGTTAATTTATGTCATGAAGGACCTCAAGATACCTGCAATCAACATACCACATCATCTGGATTCTTGGCCAGAAGCTTCTGGCGGGCCGAGCCGGGCGCTGCCAGCTGGCTGGCGACAGAGCTTAGACGTTGTTGTGGTGAAGACATTGCAAATAAGAATATGTGTAGATGAAGAAGAAGAAAGAACGTATTTAATAAAATATTGGATAGCTTTCAGATGCTAAAAAGAACCGCGGCTTCTCCATATTTCCCCACACCGAGGCGATGAGAAACACAGAACAAACCGACGTGCTCTTCCGACATTTTTGAGCCGATTGGAAGTGCCGGGCCTTCGGGTCACACGATGTATGATACTGTAATCTTTGTTCCTCGGCCTGGAATTCAAGGGTTTGATTGGACAGAATGGAGTATCATAACCGTCTCATGGCCCCACATGTGTATTGACACTGGATGGCGATGTCAGGGTATATTCACGGAGCATGATGGCTTCGAGGATGGATGTCTTCATATCCATGTTGTCTTGAGCCTTAAGTCGAATCATCCAGGTCTAGGACAACTGGTGACTCCCAAAGCTGGGGAAAGCTAAACCCGGGGAAAGGCGAATATGGGGAACTATCCTTGTTGACTCCACTTCGAAATCGTGAATATGGCCAATCCAAAGAGCCGTTTAGGACATTGCATATTGCTATTGCACACGGCAGATGGATTCTGGCTAATTTCCGACCAAGGCCCCGAGGCCTACGGATATGAAGGGTTATATCTGTCGCAATGTTAGGTTCTGACAGCTTCGATTTTTCCAGGGGATCGACGATACTCCTTTTTGCAAAAGCATCGCTCATTTTCTCCAATTGTCTATTAATTGTTGAGCTGTATACCAAGAAGCACTGGACTAGGGAAGCCCAGCTCTGTCGCAATGGACGTATTCTCTGAAGTTGGCGCGCCTGCGGTGGCCATGGCATCCGCCTTGACGGTGGCCGCTGGTGCATATCTGAATGCAAAGCTTGCTATTTCCACCGATTTGCGAACAATCGCCGGTGATAAAGCTGCTTTGAAACGGTTAAACGATCGTATCGCAGCGCTTGATGACTCACCAACCATATACAAGATACTCGAACGGGCGGTGGAGCTTGAGGGACGAGGTACCACTGATGCGCTCTGGTTTGAGCATAAGACATGGTCATACAGCCAAATAAAAGACTGTGAGAATAGCCCTTCTGACGAGAGAGAGAGAGAGAGAATTGCGTTCGATTGCTAATGCGCCAGTCTGCAGTGGCCGACAGAATGGCCGCTCTTTTGAAGAGCCGTGATATCAACACCGGGGATACAGTGGCTATTTTTACCAGTAACTCTCCAGAAATGGTCGTGACTCTGTATGCTTTGTCAAAATTGGGCGCAGTCGCAGCAATGATCAACACCAGCTTGCGAGGTTTGTCAACAAAATCCCAATCCAGCTGGAAAGACGGCTGACATCAAGGACAGACGATACTTTCATTCATTGTGTCAACGTCTCCAGCTCCAAATTGATTGTCTCAACCGCAGATCTGTCTGAGCACATCTGCGTTGACCTACCACACTTCACATACAACATGGGGTCATTCGAAGGTACCGAGACAGGCTCAACCGAGCTCGTCACCTCAGAAACTCTCCAGCAATTCTCTCCGTCCGGAATGGCAGCAGCCAAGTGCACCACAAAGGATATCTGCGCCCTGATATATACCTCGGGAACAACGGGAAAACCCAAAGCCTGCGGTATCCGCAACATGCTCGCGATGATCACCTCCACCCCACTCTCAGTAGATGCCAACAACCCCGACAAATACCACCCATTCCGCGTATACTCCCCTCTACCCCTCTTCCATGGAACAGCCTTCTTCATTGGCCTATGCACAGCCATTGGCAACGGAGGAACCTTATGTCTCGGACGAAAATTCTCCGCCTCCCGCTTCTGGAAAGAGGTGCACGACTCAGGCGCAACACGCATCCTGTACATCGGCGAGTTATGTCGGTACCTTCTCGCAGCGCCGCCGTCGCCTTATGACCAGGACCACAAGTGCATTGTGGCAAGCGGTAACGGGCTGCGCGGAGAGATCTGGGAGAAGTTCCGTAACCGTTTCAACGTTCCCGAGATCCGGGAGTTCTACCGCTCAACCGAGGGAATTGCCAAATTCGATAATCACGGTGTTGGAGCTTGGGGCGCTGGCAAGATCGGGTTTTCTGGACCTATCCGCCGGTTTGTGGAAGATGTCACTTTCATCGTTAAGTATGATACCGATACCGAGATGCCTTACCGAGATCCTGTCACTGGGTTCTGTGTCAAAGCTGCGCTTGGAGAGGAGGGTGAGGCAATTGGCCGTGTCCGAGACCGTGGTCTGCTGATTGAGTATCTGGGTAATGAGGCAGCAACGGAGGAGAAGCTTCTGCGGGATGTGTTTCAAAAGGGAGACTTGTTCCAGCGGACTGGAGACTTGGTTGTTCAAGATGACTCTGGGTGGGTGAGGTTCCAAGATCGAGTTGGTGACACTTTCCGCTGGAAGGGTGAGAACGTTAGCGCAGGTGAGATCCGGGACCATATTTGCCGGATTGAGGGTGTGCATGACGCTGTGGTATATGGTGTGAAGCTTAGTGGGTAAGTAATGTGGCTGTCTTAATTTTCCTCTTTATCTGGCGAGACGGCATTGCTAATGCTCTCTACCAGATACGATGGTCAGGCTGGAGCTGCTGGTATTACGCTGGAATCACCATCAGTTGAGACAGAATTGATGTCGAATCTGTACAAAGAGCTCAAAAAGAAGGGTGTTCCTTCATATGCTCTGCCTCGCTTGGTCCGACTTACTGAGAAGTCAGCATTCCCTTCACGGCAATGATTTGTCTATGTCGCTAATCAAATTATTGTTTATAGAGTCGCCACAGGTGTCACTTTCAAGCAGGCTAAAGGTGAGCTATCAAAAAGGGCTGGAATCCTCGTCAGGATTGGGGAGGAGATGTTTTATACTGGCTGGATGGTACGAAGTACCAGAAGTTGGAAGAGCAAAGTTGGGCACAGATTGAGAGTGGTCAAGCCAAGATTTGAGTCTTGACTCGCCCTTAACCTTCATAATACCCACCAATGCCCATTCGCTATAGCAAGCATATAGACACATATTCGTTATCAGCAACTATACTCCTACAACAGGTGACCATACAAGAAAGGCGCCCTCTCCATATAAACCTCGCAATAAGTTATACTGATAAGGTCGCAGTCCACTCGAGTGGGCCCAAAACATAGCTGCAGAGCGAGTCCAGCATGTATGCAAGTATCGCTTACGAATTACGTCGATCAATGATGAGAGTGATCTCATGCTTTGTGAGTAACAAGATGGTTTACGACCACTGTTATCCTGATCATTAGTGCACCCTATGGATGACGTTAGACATTCAGCGCTTGCTTAAGGATTGATGCCAGGATATACCAACATTAACTATTATCTTCCATTTAGAATATCATTGTGGGCGGCTGTCACTTTTAGGTAGCTTATATATATGCTACACGTGTACCATTTCCGTTTATCATCATCATTGTCATTTCTGTGGAACTTGGATAATTGAGTGATGCGAAAATTTCAACAACTATCTGAGATGGCTTTTTGAAATTTGGAAGAGATGTTCAGAAATGAGATGATGGACCAAGTCCCCAACATGCCGTGCTGGTGATTCGATGTCGATCACCGATAAGAAACTGGAGTATAGTGGGTCAGATTGACTCCCCACTAGCATGAGATGAGAGGGAACAATTGCACAGATGTCAGTAACAGAACATGATGAGCCGATGAAGGTCATTGGGAGGATAATTTCTACTCCGTCTAGATAGATCTTCTATCAGCCACATGCAGGTACACGAAAAGTACAACCATGGATCGACCGAAATGGTATAGATCTGCCCCTGGGATCACGTGTTGAGGCGTCATCAAGTGACATCTCTTCCAAGGTTTCTCCTCACTCCAACTTCTACCTCCGCCTCTTGATCCCAACCCCACACTCTGCCTGAACGAGAAACTGTTTTCATCTTCAACTGCACATAGTCGAGATATCTACCATCTGGGTTTCCCCAAAATACAGCCGTCACAGCCATGAGGTTCTTATCAGCTGCCAGCCTCTTGGTTCTTACCGCTCCGCTAGCAAATGCAGCCGCTTTCTCTATCTTCGATCCCACCCAGGCTTCATTGAAGCCGAACAGTAACGAGGATTTCCCGGTCGAGGGTGATAACCCTTTGCAGTACTGTGCCAAACCAGATAATTACAAACTCGAGATTGAGTCGGTGGATCTGGCACCCAATCCACCTCTACCGTATGTCATTCACGCTGCGTGTCCTCGCCATGTAGTAGATCTCACTAGCTAACATCCTGGTGGTAACAGAGGAAAGAAGTTGACGATCTCCGCCAAAGGTACCCTGCTCGAGAGAATCGAGAAGGGCGCTACCGTGAACCTGGAGGTGAAGTGGGGTCTCATTACTTTGATCAAGCAGACCGTCGACCTATGCGATGAGCTAAAGAATGTGGATCTGGAGTGTCCCCTGGAGAAGGGCAAGATGGTCTTGACGAAGGAGGTGGATCTGCCAAAGCAGATCCCACCGGTATGTTCTCTTTACAATATTTTACAACCAGACAAGCAGCTAACGGCGCTTTTACAGGGAACATACTCTGTTCTTGCTGATGTCTACAACAAGGAGCAGAAGCAGGTCACTTGTCTGAAGGCGAATGACATCGTGTTTCACCTCTAATCCTGTCTATCTTGGACATTGCTTTGCATCCACTCACCAAGTGGCATCTCTCGATTTGCTGAATTGTCAACCTCATTAGCTTATGTGCTTGACTCGGAGGTCAAGCATCTGCAATGCTCTTTTCCATGCCCTTCTCATGACTACTTCAATACTTGCATTCTGTTGTTTCAAGTTCTATAATGCGTTGCAGTACTTTCGGATATCATTTGGAATTCTTCATTTCTACGCTGTTTGCATTTGTTGTCTTTTTTACAACCGTTTGTATAAACCATAACTGAGTACGACTGTAAACTGTACAGCTACATATAGCTGTGGCTACAATATATAATCATGTCATCTCCACTGACTACACAACATATATAAGACAAATTCCGTATAGCCACGAAGAGAATATACGTAAAGGGTATACGAACTCGTTCCAGTTGCGTTGGGTATCTTCCCTATCTGATATTTCCACATTTTCTTCCCAATTATGCTCAAGCGCCGGGATCATCAATGATAGGACCAAAGGTGTTGCCGAAACCAATTCACCATTTCCCGGCTAAATGACAACGACAAAATATTCACGTAAAATAAGCCTACTCTCCAAACAGGCGACGGACACGCTTGAGAACACTGTCCTTCTCCGGGTCGTATGGGTGGTCTTTGCTGGGGATTTCAAGAACAGCGGGGAAAGGATCGGCGAATGCGTCGACGATGTGGCGGATACGTTCTGCGATCTGAGGTTGACACACATGTTAGCTGATATGTATGTAATGAGATTCGAGCGCTTCAATTATTTAGCGCAGCATATGGAGGAGCAACCCACATGCTGGTTGATCAAGAGCACAGCAATGTCTTTCCTCTCCTGGGTGAAGTTCTGGAAGGCCCGTTCGATCTCTGACGTCTCGGTCTTGGAATCAACGACAAGGAAGTTTCTTTGGGAGCCTGGTGGTTCAGTCACATGCTGTAGAAAGAACCAGTAGGTTAGCATGGCGGTCTATATAAATAATGTCATAGAGATGTGACGTATATGGGGTAGTGAGTAGTATCATACCCCGATGCCTGCGAGCAAAAGACCAGTAACGGAGCTGCATAATAGGTTGAGCTAGATTAGCCAAGCACGAGAGTTTGAACCAAGAGGATATTGGAAGAATGGTATTTACTCTTCATCACCAATGACAGCAAGGAACTGCCGGTCCTGGGTTACCAAGTTAGCGACCGGAGGGGTCATTCTATCGACTTCATGCCGCGTACCTTGTACGTTGCGGCCGGTGCCGCCATGATGAAAAAGAGGGAAAGAAACTGAAACTTCCAAGAAACACAGTTCTCGAACTAGTAATTCGAGATAGATCAAGTAAATGACAGATCTGGTCCAGCTGTTCGTTGATCGCCGTGGTTATCGCCGAGAGCTTCCAATTACATAAGCTGATGCAATTTCTCAGATTTGTTTACTCCAGTGCTTCATTGTCCGCAAACAATCGGGAATCGCCTTTGAGTCAACCATCACAGTTGATGTGCTTGCCTTATATTATCAATTAGATCGAAGTTGCTGAGGAACAGCTTCTGTCTACTAACACCATCCTCTGACATCATGCCTCGACTTGTACGCCGCCGCCCGCTCTCCGAGCGCATACTCTCATACGTGAATCCATATGACTTTTTGCTCTGGCTTTCTGAAGAATTCGAAGGTGGTGATTGGGACCAACTGGAGAAAAACTGGTCTCTGCCTATCGGTATTGCGCTCAATTTGATCTTGCTCATTGCGCGAGCGAATAGTCGGTCCGGTGGTAGCAAGGCTTTCGACGATGTGTTCGGCGACGACGATGGCACATCTCTGCGTGGGTGGCTTGTATGTTACTCTGCGTCCCTTGATTTTGCCTCTCATTTCCTCCATAATTCCGAGATTTATGGATAAACAGCTAATCAGCCATGATTGTCCCGCTTAGGCCTCATTCATCGCTCATTTGATGGCTGTTGCGTCTGTGGCGAACGCTATCTACACGTTTCAGAAGAAGAGACGCTATCGCCTGTTTGAGAACTCTATTGACAACAACCCGGCGACTCCATCAGCGCATCGTGTACGCGTCGATTCAAGCCCCAGGATGCCTTCTCCTTTGCGGTATATCGCTACGGCGCTGTCATCAGAATCGGCACACTCGAGAGCACACCCCGACGCACAGAGAGATGTCTGGGAGCTCGCGATTTGGGATCCTTCACCACTTTGCCTCCGGCTCTTTTGCTTGTTCAGCCCTGGGCACGTCCTAGTATACTGGCTGTTCCTCCCAACACAGCTTTCCGATCCCCGACCCAGCGTGACGATTGTAACGACAATCGTTTTGACAGCTCTTCTATCTGTGCAGATGTCCTTCATCTCTTCTTCTTACACACAACAAGCCAAGGACCAGAAAGTTATACACAAGGAAGTCTTCAAAGAATACGACACCAAATATGTCCAACCTAGGACACATCCCGTGATGAGAGACGTTGGCACGCAATTCTCAGATCCGTATGCTGAACCACCGAAGACCGAGGACGAATGCAACAGGGTTGAAACTTATAGCCCCGCCGTCATAATTAACCGTGGTTTCAAAACCAGCCCCAACCCCAATTACCTCAAGCACGTTGACCCAGAAGGTTTCACCCCGATCCGCCAGTCGACTACATCTAGTCCAATCTCCTCTAGGTTCCAAGGACCCCCTCTCAACACCCCGAGCATGTCTCGCGATGGCTCCCCTATGGCGCGAGGTAACAACCGTACAACAATGCGACAACCGCAGTTCCGATCTACGGCAACAACAACAGGCGATGGAGGAAGCCTTGGTGTTTACAGCCATGCAAACTCTCCATTAAGGAAGTCTGCAACTACTTCATTCGACCGCCGCTTACAAAGCAACGGAGATTTTGTTTACAAGGAACGTGGTACCACACCCTTGATGCGGAGCTCCAGTCCACTGAAAAGAAGCAGTGTACCTGGAGGCATGAATTCAGGTGGCCCAGCTACCGTCAATAGATCAGATAACGTCAACACTCGCCGAGAACCCGGGCGATTTTAAGATGAATATGAATGACCAAATTCCATTCCAACAAGCATGGAACGTTGTCGCCTCAGTGTCAGATGCGCAGTTTCCTTCTTTCTTCCGAGGCATGCTGGTAAATGACGAGACAGTGGCACTTTTCGTACATGTACTCCATTTTTAATTGAGCTGGCACCGGTGCAGCTTTCTATTTGACGTTTCGTTTCATGGTGTTAATTTACATCCGCCACGCTGGGGAATGCAAGCGGCTCATCCAGGGCTGCTGAATATATGGCCTATGGCAGCTCTTTTTCTGATCGCTCGGTTTTTTGTGTTTGATCGACTCGGTCACATGGTATCTTGTTCAATTGGCGGAGAAATTTCCTTGGACTTCTCGAGTTATCAGCGCGCTATGTCGACACTACCTATGGTATGGGTATCTGTATCGCGCTTTCTCTACATCCATACCTCGTAACTTCCAATGATGGAATTGATTTTCAAATGTTCAAGAGGAAACCGTCATTCCAAATGGCGGTGGGACATTTCATATGGCATTCATCCAGGGGTTGGCATTCCTCATCACCTGGCATTCCAACCAGGAGCACATTATTTTTACGCGTTATGAGCGACCACCTGTGAAGACATCTTAACAGACAGTCTCTTTCAATCGTCCTACTCCTCCGAGACATTCGAATCCACTCTACAGCCGCCGACCGACATAGATCTTTCCTCAAGAATACCATCACAGATACCGACCACTCTCTCATCGCTCCAACACGGCATGGCCTAGGGGACTTTATTCGCTGTGGTGTGCCAGTAGCATTGGCAACCCCGACGCTGTCAGCCCCACCACAATATGGACGAAGCTCATGTTGAGTTGCCCGACGGACACCTTGTGAATCTCTCACCACGGCCTGCACTGCAAACTCCCTACAAAGCGTACCGAGCCGAGTCCAAGCCATCGACGGAGCTCTTGGCAACACCTCCACCTCGATACCCGCAAGAAGAAATACCAACGGGATATGTTGTTGCAAGAGGCGCATCGGCGAATATATCTGAAATGTCAAAATCTACCAAGCTGCCACTCCCCAAGACTTTCTCTGAAAGTCGTAACCATGATTCAAGTCAAACGTCTAGTCCCACTGGAATTCCTAAATTGATACCAGCCAGCCACTCCTTGGGACAGCTCGGGAACCAGCCAAGAGCTTCAAGCAAAGGTCATGATCCATACTGGAGGAAAATCCGGGATAAATTGGAGGAGTCCCCATTGTTGCCAAGACGTGCCAGGAGCAAGGAAAGCGACAAGGCCGAATCTCCTAGCTCGCCCTCGTCATATCACCGCAGCAGACTTCCCGCCAGCACTAGCCAACACAAGACAATCTCCCGCGCAGGTAATGCACCGTCAGGCATCCCAAGTCCAAGCGCTGTGAACAGCAGTCCCGCGCAGGGGCCGAGAAGAAACACTCACACTACGCTTTCCGAGGGCAGCGAAAGCAACTGGCGGAAGCAAGGTGACCAATGGGTGAACATGGACGATACCACAACTACACCCCTGAAATCAGTGATAACGCAGGCGACGACTGATTCCAGCCCTCCATCCCATCCTTCCGTCTCACCAGTATCTGCCGAGGACAGTTCTAGCACTGACTGGGAAGACCGATTCGTCGTAAATATGCCAACCGCAAAAGATCCCAATCCGCCAACGATGACTGCACAACAAATTGCTGAGTATCAGAGGAGCATTGAAAGGGTACACCGGGCCGGCGTGCAAATGGCAGATCCGGAGACATTGCCTAGTCGCAACGCCTCACCAGAGATCAAACTCATCCCTAGCGAGCAAAGAACCCATGGCCCAAGGTGTATCCACACTTATGATGGGGCAAATGATGGGCATCAAATACCGAGCTTGTCACGAGACCAATATCGCTCATCACAGCAGTCTCAGCAAAAGTCTCAGCCGGAGCAATATTCACAAGTCCAACCCCCGCAGCCGCAGCAGCCGCAGCCCACGACTACGTCCCAGCGTCATCTAGCTAGCCACTACTATAGCCCGGATGAAATCGGGTATAATCGTATTAGCACAATTTGGGAGGAATCTCCCACAAAAACTAAGGAGAGGCGACACCCCCACAATGCGGATGGGTCTTTTTTAGGGTGCAGGGAAATATCAGGGGAGAAGAATCCAGACGAAATTCTTACGTTCGCTTCCCCAAACGATGCCAGTCTGCATCCACTCCCACTAGCCTTAGTTTCCAAGAACAAGCAACAGGTGCCGAAGCAAGTGAGGAACGCGACAGACCAAAATGCAGCCCCCAGCGTCGAGGAAACCATAGTCCTTCAAGAAGAGCGAACACAAAATTCTCAGAATTCGAGACCTGCCCAATGCTCGAAGCCATCCGTCGTGTACCAGAATCGGAGTCCCTCCCAGAACCCATCTCCAATCCCACGGACCAGGTCCCAGGATTCGAGCAAGGAGAACTACCACCCTACCAGCAATACACCCGAGCGGTCCAGGGATCTAGAAGACGATCCGGGGGACGACAATGTGTTCATTTCCACACCCACTATCACACGCACCATGATTCCCACGCCCGACAAGAAAGCATCTTCGCCAAAGCCGCAAGGGCTGCGTCGTGCTGGTGGCACAAACCACACAGTCACCGCAGAGGCTATCAAAGCCGTCCGGGCAAAGGCCCAGATGATTTCGACACCATCGGGGTTGCGGCCCGGGGGGACCAACATGAATATCAAGCTAATAGGGCGTACCTTGACAACCTCGCAAACATATCCGCTCGGCAGCATCTCCATCACACCGGAAGATCGAGACGACGGGGGGCAAACACAAGACCATGCACAAGATCGCAATCGAGAACGAGCAGCAGGTACACCATCGAATACTATCCGTGGCTTCATCCGTACCTCCGGGCTGGCAAGATCTTCAGGGCTTCCTAGATCACCTACGGATAGCTTTGCTACGATCCTGCGCAACAGAACTGAATCTCTCCGTACACGCGCTGAGTCTCTCCGGAGTGATTCAGGGTCAGCCCGGCGGGTGAACCAGCAGCGTTCTCCAAGTCCTCAATCAATTTCTCCGCCCAAGGAAGACTTGGAATCATCACGATCAGTACAGTCATTTCAATCCACCAAAGACATTCCACCTGTCTCGACAGACAAGCCTGACTCGGCGCCAAAACCAACCATAACGGAAAATAAACCAGGGGAAAATCAACCGGAGGAAAACAAACAATCTCCCTCACGCCCACCGGCACCAAGCAAACCAATAACGAAACGAGCGGCCTTATCAGAAGGACGTTCTTCGTCGCCAAAAGCCGACAAGCCCTCTTTATTAACCAAAAGTGTTTCCACACTAGCAAAGCCGTCCAAGTTGGACAAAGTCTCCAAGATTGCAAAACCAGCTCCGTCTGAAAAGTCTCCTTCTTCCGTGGCAAAGAAGACCGATACTTCGCCAAAAAAGGAAGAGCGAGTGAAGCCCCTTCCTCGTCTCCGTACCTCGGGTAAAGTGTTGGAAATCGCCGAGCTAGACGGGCTTCAGGTTGTGAGTCCCAAGGATTCTCTACAGTCGAGTATCACAGATGTCTCTGCCGATTTAGGTGACATGCGCTCCCAAGACAATGCTGATTGCGATGGACAGGGGCCCAACCCTTTGGCCCTTTCACTTCTTTTCAATATTCTTGTTGTCGCCGTCACCCAAGTCAATAAAGCTGTTCGAATGGGCACCGGCAGCCCTTACATCAAATTTGTGGTCAACAACACGCTGAACATGACCAGCCACTGCTGGCGTGTTTTCAAATGCATCTACGTCGTGGTATCACGTTACCAGGCCACAGGCACATGGCCTAAGGCTCGTAATGACCAGGCCATCAGTCGTTTCATGGTGGAGCTTCTTCAGGCCATCGTGTACCTCTTGATTCTTGGGTTTGCTGCCATTCTGATAGGCCGTACTGCTGGCTACGTCGTTCTCGTGACCAGTTGGATTCTATGGTTTGCTAGGCCATTTGCGTGGGCCTTCCAATGTGTTGGCCGTGCCCTCATAATGTAAAATCAGCCAGACCTTGAGCTGTACGCTTGTATAAGATTGTTTCTCTAGGAGTCTCTCGTTTGGAGGGGACGTTCGTCGTTTTTGGTGATTTCAGATCTTGGTCTGGTCTTGTCTCAAGCGGTTATACCTACTCGCCTACCTACTGTCTCGCGACTATATTTCTAGCTTATCATTAAATATGTCTCGGAACTTTGATGTGCTACATGCAACAATCTGTATTTGTGTACGCTAATACACGTAGGAGTAGACAAGAGCATGGATTGATATTGATCTTGACCAGAAAACTGAGACACAAAACAAAACCCCAAGACCCGGAACACACAGTGAAGTGCCTCTCCCATGTTGAAGAGAGAAATAAAATGATATGCAGCTTTTCTCGTGTCTTCCCCAAATCCAGAATTCAATCTTGTGTATGATGTTCTCTCTTTCTTTTGCTATAAAAAAACACAAAAATAGACCCAACTCCGACATCCTGGTGTTGAATGGTCCTGTATGCTAGCCCCGGAATAATCTTGCAAAAGCAATGCAAAAACAGAGAAAAGGTAAGAAATTTGAACAAAGAAAGTTACTATCTCAAACATCTTTCATGTCCGGATGTGCGTTGAGCAATCCCTTTTTCCCGTTCATGCGAACGAGATGTCCACTCAGCCGAGGACCGACCCAGCATTGTGTGAGACAAAAGCAGCATTCAAGAAAAATGTGATGTAGAGAAGGAAGCAGAAGAAAAACGAGAAAGGAACAAAAAAAGCAGGGTTGGGCTACCGTGGGCAGTTATAGCCGCCGCTGCGTGAGCTCTATGAATTGAAGAAAAGCCAAACAAAGATGAGCAGAAGAAATAAGCCATGAAGGCAAAGATTATGTTGAATTTTTGTTTTTTCTTTCATTCTTTTTGATTACTCCGTTCCTCTGGACTATTAGTCTGGACTGTACTAGGTCAAACAGAAAATATGACATAGTCCAGAAGAGAAGCGCCGGGCCTGGAGAAGAATGGACCCGAGAAAATAAAAGAGAATCCGATCGACGAAGCGCCATTGTTAAAAGAGACGGGGTATCGGTACATTATGTTGAAATGAAAACGCTGAGGAAGAAATCGTTGAGAGGTCTTCAGTCGTGACGCCATAAGACATTGCAGGGGAGCCCGAGATGTGTTGGAGTAGTTTTTTGTATGGGCTGTGTTATCGTTGAGATGAGTGATGTTGAATTAGGTATGTTGAGTTGGTGTTATGAGAGGTTTGCAAAGATGGCATACGACCGAGGAAGGAGGTCGACGGTGTGAAAGGATAGCAGACCAGCTCCGAGTTGAGGGAAACTGGCTTAGTTGGCAGCAACGCCATTTTGTTCGGTGTGACCGTTGGTCAATGGCTTTTCAGGTACCTCGACCTCGGCGTTGAGCTCTTTGACCTCAAGACCATCGAATAATTCGAACAGGCCATCAGATCTGTGGAAGTCGTTGTCGACGATATTGACCAGATACCAGTCGTCCATGACCTGCTGAATCAGCTTGCGACTAGGGCTGGCTGCATCGTAGCACTTAGACCAGTGCTCGCCCAAGAGGTATGCCTCATCCTTCCAGGCCAAGAAGCTGACTGTCTCGACAATTGTGGGCTGAATGATCTCTCGTCCAGCGAAGATACCCCATGTCAGGGCATTCGGGCTGTCACGGGTGTTGGTCTTGAGCTCGCCCTTCTTGTTGGTGGCGTGGTAGGTCAAGTCATCGTTCTTCTCGATGCGAGTGATGAGTTCATCGATCAAGTTGGAGGGGACCAGAAGCTCAAGGTAGGCTTTCTGATAGACGAAACCGTTCTTCGGGCCCCATCCATATACAGGATGAGATGACTTGACTCCATTGACAGCGGGCTGGGAGTTGATTGTCAGGAATCCGCGCTGGTTGAGTTTGAGCAAGTCCTCCTGGATATCGTGGGCCTCGGTCGTGATTGGGGAGTCACTCCACGGCAGTCGGTCAAGCTTGCCGGCCAAGAAGTCAACGAATATGTTCGAGATATCCTTGATCGACTTTGGCTCGCCCCAAAGTTTGACGTTCTGCTCATTTGTGCCCTTCAAACCCACACCGTAAGCGTCGAGTTCACCGAACGCAGGTGAGCGAGAATCGGTCCAGCGACCGTTGGGGTACTCGTCCCATGTCTGAGTACGAGCAACGTATGATGAGTTCCGGTTGCGCCAGAACACTGGTCGCACATCCTCCGTCCGTCGGCCGAGGCCAAGGGAGGGCCGCCAAGGTAGTGCACGTTGAATAGGGGATTCTTCCGAAGGGGAAAGGTCGAGCTCTTTGAGAACCAATTGAGTAGCCTGAGCCAGGTTCATGGTATAGCTAGAGAATTGGTCAGGACATGTCAGGTACCAGGATTGAGGTATTAGTAGGGCAAACTCACAAATGCAGGTGCTTGATACCAGCAGCAATAAGCTGTCTGCACATATCGGCGATCAAAGTCTTTCCGATGTCGCGAACAGCGGAATCGTCATTCTTGACCGGCTCAAGGGCCTCCATCCACTGAGATGGTACTTTAACCTTAGTCCAGTTGGATCGACGAATGAAAGAAGCGTACGTCTGGATAGGCATGATGCCGGGAATGATGGGGACAGTGATGCCCTTGGCACGGCACTTCTTCAACCATTCGATGAAGTTATCAGCGTCGTAAAACATCTGAGTGACGACGAAAGAGCTGCCCGCATCAACCTTCTCCTTCAAGTGGTCGATCAATTGGTCCACATCGGCGTTGTCGTCGGCACCCTCGGGATAACCACCCACACCAATATCGAAGTGGTTGCCATATTTGTTCCGAATGTATTTGACCAGATCTTTCGCATAGCAGAATCCATTTTCAGCAGCCTCCCATGTCTCCTTGTCTCGGGGTGGGTCGCCTCGAAGAGCCAAAATATTGGTGCAGCCAGCTTTGTAGGCAGCTTGAAGCGCTTGGTCGACTTTCTCCAATGGCATATCTGTGCAAGTCAGGTGCATACAGGTCTCCAAGCCATATACCGATTGTGCCACACTGACCATCTCGCAAGTCAGATCCGATAAGCGACCGCCAGCACCCCAGGTGATGTCGATGAATGAAGGACCCAACCCATGCATGCGGTCCATGCGGTCATAAAGGTTCTGTACACCCTGGGCGGTTTTGGGAGGGAAGAACTCGAAAGAGATTCCAGTCTTTCCCTCCGCTTCATTTTTGGCAAGCTTCTCCCGAATATGCATCGTGTCAAGTTAATCTAGTCTTTTGTAAGCATACCCAGTGAATTTAACGAGTCATCAATTCCATCAAGGTTTGTGCTCTTGAACAATCATACCGGAGGACAGTAATTAATTAGATTGTTTGTGGGACTGGGACACTTATGCAGATGAGACTACTGCTGTCTGAGACCCTGGGTACAATCCCTGTGTACTTGTGACACCTAAATGTCCAGGACCGAGGGAACAAACGGAGAAAGCAAACGAAGAAATAGAAAAACGAATACAAGAAGGAATTGTGAGGCTCGAAGACGAGTGAAGGAGAGGAATCGAGGATACCGGTGAGCGGAACATTTGGGGGAACAACATTTGGCGGGGAAGGCCGGCCATCGGAGGCACGTGTTTTGTTACTTTAAAGGGGAATTAAGGTGGAATTAGGGTGGAATTCAAGGGGAAAGTGTGGAATAAACTTGTATAGTAAGCGAATAGTATATGATTTGATTGTTTTCAAGTCTTTTTTTTATATAAAATAACTGTTTATGGTACTTTTATAGGGGAAAACAGTTTCTTCCTGTCTACTATGGCGCAATACCAAGCCTATACCGCCTGCCCCTCCATCGAAATTAAAGTTCCGGCAAAATTTTCCCGTTCGACTTGGCGTGGTTGGACTCTTTTGATCCTTTGGACCTCTTTAGATTGCTTCAATTCTCTTCAACCTCCAAGATGTCAACTGTTCCTCCCCCGTCAGCCGATCAGGACTACAAGTCCACCCTCCTTCCCCTCCTCATCTCTAACAAAGTCCTCTCATTCGGTACCTATGTCTTGAAGTCCGGTCGTGAATCGCCCTACTTCTTTACCTCTTCCCTCCTGCACACTGCACCATTGCTGCGCGCCTCCTCTGCTGCATACGCTAGCGTTCTCTCTGCCGAGCCTTTTGTCACCATCAACTCCGATGGCACCGCTCAGCCCAACTTCGATATCATCTTCGGTCCCGCGTACAAGGGTATCCCCATTTGCGCCTCTGTCACCAACGAGCTCGCTGTACGGGACTCCCTATCTGGAAAGGCTACCTGGGACAATGTGAGCTACTCTTTCAACCGCAAGGAGGCCAAGGCACATGGTGAGGGTGGCAACATTGTCGGTGCCCCGTTGAAGGGCAAGCGCGTTGTCATTGTGGACGATGTCATTACTGCTGGCACTGCACTTCGTGAGGCCGTTGGTATCATCGAGAAGGAAGGCGGTATCGTCGCTGGTGTTGTTGTCCTGCTGGATCGGGAGGAACGTGTCAGCGATACCGAGACCAAGAGCGCCATTGGCGTTGCCCAGCGTGATCTTGGTGGCAAGATCCCCATCCGGTCCGTCATTGGTCTTCACGATCTGATTGAGAAGTTGGGTGATAAAATTGGCGCCGATGAGATCCAGCGGTTGAAGGATTACCGTGAGCGCTACGGTGCTCAATAGACATCGGCTTGTGGAATCCGCCAGATCAAGGCATGATGTATGAGCAAAGAAAAGGATGGATACCAGGATATATTGGAGTTGTGCTGAAAATATAATTATTTGAACATTGCCCAGATCCACTCCAGGAGACGGGCACATTTCTATATGAACCACTTGACTTTGTCCTCGATAATCGATGCAACCCATATACATTAGACTAGCTCCCAGATGGTCTCCCCATTTGCCCATCAAAACAAAATATGACGGGTAAACGAATTGATTTGCTCTTTTGGCTCTGGTATCGCGAAGCTTCCCGGCGAACAGGTGATACCCGTGCTCAATCCGAGATGTTCAATGGAAACATTGATATATA